TACTTTCATCACATTCAATACAAATCATCAGTTTGATTGAGATATGATTAAAGATACAAAAACTTTCATATAATAAGATTCTTTTGGTTATGTATAATGAACAAAAAAAATTAATCAACAGCTATAGAATCTATCTCTTACCTGCGAATCGTCTGTAGCTCCATCTCCAATCGCTCCATACTGAGTAACATCCAATGCTGTCGAAGATATGAAGATTTGGAGAATGAACACTGAGAAATTTAAGATCCAAGCCTTCTTCTACATATTTTTTCGAGAGAAAGAGTTAAATCATGAATATAATTACAAATTAAGAACAAAGAAAAATGTATATACTTTATCAAACTTCATATCTACTATATAGGTTTTATATTTACAGACAAAAGAAGATGCTTTAAGGCATTACCATGTTAAGCGGATATTTTGCGGACAGTAGTAGACAATATATGTAAAGATAAATGGACATACGAATACGTACGTATTTGTATGATAAAAAGACGTAATAAATAAATAAATTATCTTAGTAAAAAAAAAGATAACATTTAAAATTCAGATTACTTTTGTCCATGAGGCGTCGGAGTGTTAATTACAGTTAAAAGCTTCTCTCAAAAACATACCATTGTATCTCTGTTTATTCAATATTATATACTTATGTTCTTCATGTTTTTCCTGTTCCGTTTCCCTTGATTTGGTTTAATTTTGAAGGAGCACTAATATGTGAATGCTATATATATAGCAGTTTCAAGAAATTTGCTTTAGCTTCCTTTTTTTGTTTGTCTATTTTTGACTTAGTGTTTTGCCTTTAATTGCTTTTGTGTTCGCTTCGGTTTAGGGGTTTTTTCTATATTCTGCCTTTCTATTTTTTTATTTTACCTTTTATAATTAAAGGCAACTTTGATTACAGTAACGAATTTAATTTAGAATAAAATAAAATAAAAAGCTTTCATTCTTACGAGTTACGAGTTTTAAACTTTTAATAATACTTTTATTTAAATAATAATTTGTTTTTCCAAGATACAGGGCTAAACACCAATGTCAGCAGATTCATCAGAGTGTTACAACGCCCAATAATGGCCCATATGACAATATTACAGGACCTGCACATACTTCCAAAAGCTCAATACTATTATTAAAATCTCCCATCTTTTTTCCTTCTCTTCTTTTACTTGGGCAACTCAAAATCTAATCTCTTTTTTTTCTTCTTTTTCTTACATGTTAGTATCTTATTGATATGAATAAAACATCAGACGAAACCAATGTTCAAAATATCGCTAGGCGGTATCTAGACGCTCAATAGAGGTCTAGGGTCTAGGCGTATTAATCGGGGTCTAGACGGGGATTAATCGTTTTAGATTTATTTAGATTTTTTATTATTTTTAAATATTTATTTCATAAAAGTCACTAAAAATAAAAAAAAGTTTTGATCCAATATCAACTAAAAGTTTAAGTATTTAACACAAATAAATATAAAAATATAAAACTTAAACATAACCAAAAGTTCAATAAGATATAAGATAAAAAAATCAAAAAAATGTAAAATAAAACAAATATGCTAAGCTTCTTCAACTGCAAACCCCTCGACATTCACCACCTGTTCATTATCAGATTCAAATTCAATATCATTGACAATATCATGCTCTTCATCTGAGTCAGGTTCTTCTCTACCTTCATCACTCGGAACTTGATGAACAGATTCTCCATTAGGTGTTTCAACACTCTCAAGTAGATCCACAAACCATTTTTCTGCATTTCTTTCTTCACCATCTTCAAGAATCACATCAATGTTTTTATCTTTAATCCTTTTCCGTTTGTTGAACAATTTGGCATTGAATTGGACATAAACTAGACTGTTAAGTCGATTAACATCTAGTTTATTCCTTTTTTTTGTATGGATCTATAAGAAAGAAAAAAGAAAACATCCAAAATCAACAAACAAAATTTTGAAAAGAAATACATAAAACTCTGATAAAATTTGAGACAAGAAAACACTAACCCCTTCAAAAGCACTCCAATTCCTTTCACAACCAGATGAACTAGATGTTAAAGAGAGAATCCTTGTTGCTAACTTTTGCAAAGCAGGTACATGACAACCATGTATTGACCACCAGTTACCTATAATGTAAACTAAAATAATAAACCATCGTTATTCAAAGCAGTATAATGGTTGATAAGGTTAAAAGAATACCTGGATCAAAGTTGTCATCATTTTGTGAGCATCCTCTCAAAGCTAATCCTCTCCCGAAATTTCCAGATTGTGTCTTGTAAAGAGTAAACTCTTTATTCACGACTTGATCTTGTTTGTCATACTGACCATGGTAAAACGTCTCAACACAACTCATAAACCCATCAATTAATGGCTGATCATGCTCAATGGTTGTGTACTTGTAGAAGTAGAATGGGTTCAAAATATAGGCGCTCATGTGCAAAGGAGAATCCAACCTACCTTTCATTTTCTCATCAATGATATCGAAAATAGGTTTGTAGTTTCTCTCCAAGTCATTACAAGCCAACTTAATCTTATTCCTTGCTTCTAAGAGCTCTCCAAAGATAAAACCCATTGAAGGTTTCTTCTCCCCATCAGCAACCCTAAGAAGTTTCACTAAAGGTCCAAAAACCTTTAACACAAATACCACACCATTCCAAAATAAAGAGCTCATAACAGTTAAGAAACTGCTTTTTCCCTTTACACTTTGTGAATGTTTGCATAAGTCTCATTCTTCACTATTGAACATCGCTTTCAGTTGTACCTTTTTTTCCAGCAAGCTTTGTAGTGTTAAGAAAGTTGTAGCAAATCTTGTAGCTCCTGGTCGCACAATATCCCTTTTCTTGGTGTGCAATCTCATCATTGCTAAGGTTTTATGATGAGCATATATGAAAATCGTAAGACCTTTAGCTTGGTCAATGATTTTTGCAAACTTCGGCAACTTAGAAATTGCTTCAAGCATCAAATCAATTGTATGAGCAGCACAACCTGTCCAGAAAATACTCGGCCTCTTCTCTTTAAGCATCTTTGATGCTGCCACATTATTGAGAGCATTATCTGTTACTACTTGAACAACTTTCTCAGCACCAACTTCTCCAATGCATCGATCAACATATTGAAAGATGTATAGCCCTGTGTGAGATTCCGTGGAAGCATCTTTTGAGGACAGAAAACATGTTCCTCCTCTGGAATTAACACATAGATTCATTATGCTCCTCCTTTTCCTATCAGTCCATCCATCCGTCATGATTGAGCAACCGTACCGTTCCCATTCCACTTCTTGGCTTTTTAACTGCTGCTTAGTTCTTTCTTCTTCCTCTTTTAATAGTGGTTCCCTTATTTTGGTATTGAGTTGGAGGAACCCAGCCAGGTCCAAATTGTCCAAGAGCTTCACAAAACATCTTAAAAGCATCATTATCAATGGCATTGAAAGGAATACCTGATTGATACATCCATCGGGCACAATACTGATGCACTTGATGAGTTTTTTCCTTGAAGAGTACAGCATTGATGTTTTGTTGTTTTGTTTGTGTACCAAGAAGAACTTCAGGACGTATAGCTGTTGCAAACTTATCCATAGGACCCTGAAAATTACAGGGTTTCAGAGTCCCAAGGTTTTCTTCTAATTCATCATCAAGCTTCTGCCTATCGATATTCACTTCAGCTCTTAACATATCGCTTTCATGTTTCTTGGACAACTTTTTCTTCTTTGCTTCTACGATGGCATCTCTACATTTGATTTGATCTTCTTTCAATGAATTCGGACATGCAGTGACGTTTCCAGGGATATGAGCAATATGCTCTTTAATCCGGTACACTCCTCCACCCATCTCTTTCAAACATAACTTGCATTTAAGTCTATCGGTATTTTTTGGATCATACAATATTCCATACTCCCATCCGACATCATTAGAGTTTCGCTTAAGTGAAGGTGCGGATGGGGAAGGAACTCGTTCTGAAGCCATGAAATCTGTAGACATCAAAATCAGATCAGAGACAAAGGTAAGAATGAGCATAAACAGAGTTAAAAGTTTAATTGAAACAGAGAAAAACCGAAACACTAAACAAATTAACAAGATGAACAATGATACACATTGAAAGTTAAATTAAAACTTGTGATTTAGATAGCTTCTTGGGGAGAGTATAACGAGTTGCAGAAAAAGTTAAGCGGAGCAATCGAGTAGATGATACGAAGATTAAACCCTAAGTCACGTTTCATGCTTCTTTTTTTCAGAAAACCAAGTAACCAACAAATTAATTACAAAATTTAAACCAAATCTTAAACCAAAAATTCACCGATCTGACCGATTTTAGCCGCCTCAACCCTTTTATACTGTACCCGATTTAATACAACGATTATAACAAATTCGTTTCGCTAACATGTATATAAACGTATAGGCGGACGATTATACGGCGAGTTGGCCAAGTTTTTGAACATTGGACGAAACTAACAACTGTAATTAATATCTGAAACACAAAAAGGAAATGGATCTACAGAGCTTTTGTGGCCACAAGGTAATTTAGCTTTAAAGTCCCCGAAAAACGAAGGCTTCAACTGGTGACCAAAAAAATGTGGAGAAATAATAAATTTCTATTCATTCCTAAGGAATTATAGAACAAATGTATTCCTTATTAAAATTAGGGAAGAACAAAGTATATTTATTTACTTCTTTATTTATTTTTCATTCCTATTAATTTTTTTTCTTTTTGTTCCTTTCATTTTTTTCCTTTTCATTTTTATTTCTTTTTTATTAATCATGAGTTAAAGTCGAAGAAACTGAAAATAACTTGAGACATAGAACCGGAAAAAGAATTTATGTAAAACAAAATTCACTTTCATTTCTTGTTTCTCTCATGATGTATCAAACCGTGATGGACAATTTAACCATTTTCTTTCTTATATCTAGCAAAACCGAAATCGAAAAATTCTTCAAAGATACATTTATAAATTAATCTATAGTGTGGAGTCATAGTGTTTTATATATAATCTCTTAATTATGGCACTAGCTAGTGTATCCAGCTAAGGTACGACACAAGTAACTGGTGGCTGCGTGTTGTAAACCTTTCCGTGAGCATTACTACACATTGATAGAGGAATTTTATTGCCACCCTCAGCCGATTTTAAGTCGATATCCTTCAAAACCAGTCCCGTGCATCCTACAGATGTGCTACAATTTAGCATTACACCAACATTGCCTTTTATCGTCCCCTTGATTTTCGTAAATGATACATCGCTGATCTTCACCGCATTTGCTTCATTTTTCTATTAAAAAAAAAAAGTAAGAAAAAAAATTGATATCATAGATTAGAAATTTGAAGCTTTTGAATATAATTACGTATAAGAATGATTTAGGTTTTTCGCTGACGAGAGTTAAGTACATTAGAATCGTTTCCGCAGTTATTACGCGGGCAATATTGTTGATCGATGATGATTGGGTTGTAAGTTGAATCAACGGTAACGTTATAATATGAGATATGTCTCGCATATCCTCCAGCTCCCTGTTTAGATATTATAAGGGAGAAGAAAATTAATATCAAACGAATAATTATACTATAAACGAATATATGTGTAAACTAATCAATAATCACCTCCCAAGTTTTGATTCTTAAACCATTAGTAGCTGAGTTTATAATCGAATCTCTCACATGTATTTCTTCAACTGTTGGGTTTTTTTCTCCGTTAACTCCTAGACTCCCTATACTGTAAAATCGATAAATACATTATAGTAATGTTAGATTTCATAACACTATGTAATATAAATCATCGTCATACTCATATGAAATTTTCATATTATATTAATTAACCTGATTCCATGGCCTGGACCGCAAGTGACCCTTGTTATATAGATATGAGAAGAACCACTCTGGATTGCGACACAATCATCACCTAAATACATTAAAATCTTGTTATTATTAGATGTAAACACATATTAATACTAGATGCAAACACATCTATTGTAAGTATTTGTTTATGTATATATGCATACCTACGGAGATTTGTGTGTCAGTGACATAGATATAACTAGAGTAATTAATATTGATTCCGTCGGTGTTAGGGCTTGATGCAGGAGCAGAGATGTGAACGCCGGTGATATTAACGTTGCTACAAGAATTGAGGCCAAAATGACTCCTTGGACTGTTGATTAAATGAATACTTCTCACTATCATATTCGTACATGAATAGAATCCCAATTGCTGAAAAAAAAAAAAAAAAAATGTTAATCATCAAATCTAATGAATTCTAAGGCTTCAAAATGATTACTGTACATTTCAGAAAAAAAAGAGTAAAATTAAGTTAATATATGGTCGGGTAACCAAATAAAGACAAGTTGCTTTTAAAAATAGAAGTCAATATCTTTTGTTAATATGATTTTGAAAAATCGTGAAAAAGAATCTGAGGATCTATGATTGTGCATGCTTACCCTGGGTCTTCTGCATTTCCCCATCTGATTGGTCACATGAAAAAAAAAAAAAAAAACGTAAGAACAGTAACAAAACATAGACACGGTATATACAACAAGTCCGGTCCAAGAATATTATATGTCTGTAATTACATACTATGGGACAACGTTTCCACCACATGGCTCCCTTGCCGTCGAATTGTCCATTGCCTTCAATGATCAAACCGTTAAGACGATGGAACGAGAACCAGGAATCAGCGTTATAACTCGACGGTGAACTTGGTGCCACAACGTTACCATTCACCTTAATAAATTACAAAAGAATATTATAGTTTAATTTATTTTGGTCTAGGTGATTAGTACTTGATATATCATAATATGTATAAACAAATAAATGCGAGATAAAGAAATTTGTAGGCTATATTTTTTTTTTATTATTGTTTAGCATTAACAATATCATTATTTTTAAAAAAGTTCATTGGTGGTCCTTGACAGAAAAAGGGTTCATTTGGTTTTTCTAGAATTTTTCTTAAAATATGAATGAGAAATTTATGTAAACATTCATCTTTGTGAAAAAGATAGAATATGTGAAGAAGAGAAAATTGTAACTAAGTATTACCTGAAAATGAAGTCGTTTTGCTTTACATGGACCTTGAAATGTTGCGGTATTAACCAAGAAAGTTTTTCCTTGGGGGACTACAATGGTGACCTCGGCTGCATTTGCCGCACATGCTGTTGCCCACGTTTTTAGAAAAGCCTACAAAACAAAACAAAATGTTATATATAATACATGTTTATATATATGTGTACACGAGTGTACTTCATACGTATAATTAAGTAAAGAGACATCACATGTACGTACACGTGAGTCATCTGTCTTTTGGTTTCCAACGGCTCCGTATTTCGTGACATCAAATGTGTTTTGAGAAAATGCATTTTGAGAGTATACGGAATGTAAAGTGCACAAGAACAATATAATCCACAAATATTCCTGCATTCTTTCAAATACAATTAGTTACTTAAAATATATAATGGTTTTTTCTTGTTCGTGGTTTTGAAAATAAAGAATTTAAAAAGAGAGAAAAAGTTGGAGCCAAAGGTTAAGTAAGGAGTAAGTTGGTTTGTAATGATCTTCCGAAAATGTTGGGATTTATAGTAAAGAGGTCAAGACTATAGCATACACTGAATCGATGTATAAACTGCAAGAGAAGTTTTTGACCAAATACTCATTTGACTGTGGACTGAACTTGTAACTAATGATTCTGGAAAATATTATTTCTAAAAAAATGAATTTCCTGCAAGCTCAGTCAACAAATCCCTATTTTGGAAAAAAAAACAAATATTGTTGTAAGAAACAAATGTACTATTAAAATATATCTCACGGACAACATATAAGAGTAGTAGTATTGGAGAGCCCTATAAGGGTTCTAAAGAAAAAAAAATTTTAAAAAATGATATGGTAAAACTCTGTCATAGAATCGATTCTCTGCGTAAAGTCTGTAGAATCGTCTCTTACTGATGTGGCGAGACGTGATTCGTCGTTTTTTTTGAAAATCAAAACCTTTTTTTTAATAATAATTTTTTTTAAGAACTTCATTTATAAAGATCACCAATATTGGTGCTCTAAATATATAAAAGCACCCACAATGGAAAACTTGTGAAAATTTTTAACTAAAAAAAGAAAAAAGAAAAAAAATGAGTTGGCAGAAACAAAAAATAGAATCGCTCCTATAATAGAATGTTTAGAATCGATTTCTATATCAATAAATTAATTTAACAATATATTTAATATTAAAATATATTTAAGAATCTCAATATAGAGTTTATTATTGTGGGTGCTCTTAACTAACTACATATTGAATCATTACAACCAAATCATTTTAGAAAAAGCAAAATTGAACTAAGTGAGGAAATAACCGAGCCTTGGAGAATGTGCTTTGACATGTCAAGTTCAGCTATTAGAAAAATAACTATAGACATTTGATACTCATTGTTGTATTTCACCTAATCTACAATTTGCCTTTGTTTCCATAATTTGTAAAACCGAGATAGAAAATTATGTAAATCATGTTTTATTGATAATTAGTCCATATTTGATTATGACACTAGCTAGCTAGTAATCTGGCTAAGGCAAGACCGTAAGAGACAAGTGATCACTGGTGGTTGCATACTGAAGGCCTTGCCGTGAACATTTGTCCATATGATGATCGGGGAATCTTACCGGCCACATCGGCCGATGTTAAGTTGATATTTGTTAATCGCTGCGGCAAGTGACTGCGGCAGAAAAAGCAAGTGACTGTGGTAACGGAGAAAAAAATTGCCGATGACCGTCAATGTTGTTTATGAAACGTTAAATTTTTCGGGTGGTAGTTTTAAGTTGACGCGACCACTGCTGCAGTTACTTTTCTTTCCATCAAAGCCTCCAAATAAGTCGTTTAGTTTGTTGATTGCTATAGTAACTGTCGTTTTATTCAGTCGCAGACGCAGACGCAACGACGAGCAGAAGAACAGGACTATTGTTTAAGAGAAGTTTGGTGCATCCAACCAATGTGGTACAGTTTAGGTTTACGCCAATTTCGCTCTGCTTGCAATTTCCTATAAATGGTACATTGCTGCTTGCATTGTACCCCGTATTCCTATAAATGGTACATTGCTTATTCTCCCCCGCACTAGTCTTTTATGTCGAAGAAAAATTGAAGAAGAAAAAATGACATTATATAGAAGTCACAACTATTTTGCACCAAAAAAAGAAGCCACACTGTTTAAATATAATTAAAATACAGATTTAATGAGAGTTTTGAGAGTAAACTACATTATATATTTTTGGGCAACTGTGATGGCATGGCAATAGTAAGAACTTCAGAAGACAAATAATACGGAGCTAAATTAAAGATTTTCACATACCATTTGCAACAAAAAGATTTTGTATATATTGGCTACGAATATATGGCGTTATGGTACATATTGCCACTGCCATATGTAATGTAGAACGTATGCTTTTGTATATATTGGCTACAAATTGCAGATGAATATCGAGAGGGCTGAAAAGTGCAAACACGTACCACCGACAATTTTGAGTATAACTTGTATTATGCATGCTGCTTAATTATTACTATTATTTGTTAACGAACAACTGCTTAATTAAGGTCATATCACTTGTTATATCTTTGTGACTTACCAACAAAAAAAATGTTGGATTCGAGCATCGGCCATTCTGTTCCTTGACTTCTTATTTTTGCCAATACTTACTTTTACTACTGATCGGGTTAATATGTGTTATGGTCTGGTTTATACTGCATAGCCGGATTTAAACACACTATACTCCGATTACAAAGAGTCCAATAGCATTTGTGACACCTTTACACCTTAATGACCAATCAGAACAACTACACAGAAAACGACATCGTCATTGTCGGCAGCGGGTGGGCCCATCGTCCACGACTCGGAGTTTTGAATAATTCTCAAAAAACATTATGACTTACTAATTAATTAGTAATTTCCTTTTGAAAAGAAAATGAATTATTACCCTACTCTACTTGTTTTATTTTTGTGATGAAAGATAATAATAAAGGAATATACCCACAGTAATAAAACTATGATAAACAGCTCTGTAATAATTCAACGACAAACAACTTTACCCGCAACACAATTAATCATGATGGGCAAATTGTATATAAATTCCCAATCACAATAAGCAAATGTACATGTAACACATATGACCATGACATATCTCATGACTTCGTTTGAAGTATGATAGAGTTTCCGATAAATTCGCATTCACAATCAGCAAAATAATTGACTTTTCTATATCTAACGTGGAGGCACAAGATAGTGAATCAATTGACAAGGCTTCTTCTACGCGTAATTACCTTATGTTGAAGACATTTCTTTCGCGAATCATTTGATAACTAAACTAATTTTGAAGAAAAGTACCATAAAAGTTGTGAATACTATAAGAAAATTCAAAATTCATTATATTTATAGAATACGCTGTACAAATATAACCACACCATTGTGTAAGTGAGATAATAATGTATACAACAATCCCAAATCCTTATCACGAGATCCCAAATCCTTATCACCATTGAGTTAAACTATTGTTAGTGGTTCGGTATGAACACGTTGTTCTCTTGATGGACGGTATGGATCCAGCTTCGGAAACGGCGTCGTCGCATTTGGATGCAGGACGTTGGGAGCACGACTTGGATATTGTATCCCCAAGTCAGGGATATTACAACTTTTGAATATCTTTCTTCCGGAAAACTTTTAAGAATTTGTAGTAACCGCTAACTCTTCGCTTTTATTCTCTTTAGGCCCTTTTATTATATAAATTGCAAAATATCCTAACTTACTTTGTTTTGATGTTGAATTATTTGACATTGTATGATATCTAGCATATCTAGCACATTTCTATTTTCTTCCTCTACAAATAAAGAAAAAAATAGAGATGCTATTATTTTTTTTCAATCCTCTTCTAAAATAGAGATGAATTGGAAATAAATCTACTTTTATTTTAAATTTTCTCTACTTTAGAAAAAAAATATAGCAAAATATATTAGAGATGGGTCTAAATCTAAACATAATTTTTCGTTATAACCATAAACGGAGAGGAATATTGAGACTAATTTTGTAACTATTAGGACCTAGTTGTGAGGCTAACAAAGTTTAGGGGTGTGATAACAAAGAATGGTTTTTCTTCGTACTGTGGGACGTGTTAAATCATCAAAATGGGAAAATGAATAAAAATCAGGCCCCACGCGTTCACATCATTTCCTTATATTAATTTAAAAAATTCATTAATATTCAGCAGCTCCACCACAAAGTAGCTCTTGAAGAGCTTGGATCAGATCCTGAATTTCTTGCTGTGACCACCGATTCAGTTTCTCCGATCTTGCAGTTTCCGGGAATTTCGCAGTTAATATTTCTCTTGATCCATTGTTTTCCTTTTTTTTTCTTCCCCTTCTGTGAATCTCATCCATTTGTCTTCTTCTTATTTTGTTTGCGCTTGCTTTCACGATTATGAATCATATGATTTTCTTGTTTGTTTTGGATTACTTATGTATTGTTTGGATCGGGTTAAATTGTATGAGTTTGTGATTTGATGATGCTGACTATTGCTCTGCTCCGATTATGTTTTGAGCGAGATCAGTGACTGTAATATCACTATATAGAAGTTAGTGTTGTAGGATTTCGAAAAGTATTGCGAAGTTTTAGCTACTTTTAAATTTTCCTGTCTTTTTGATCCAGATCTTGTCCTGGATCTCGCTTTTTATTTTTGTTGGACAAAAAACAAAAAACTTGTAATAAGATTGTAATTGTACAATTAAAATTGTTGTAGCAGGTGATAAAATGGCGCAGCATCTGTTGCACGGGACCTTGCACGCTACGATCTATGAAGTTGATGCTCTCCATGGTGGTGGAATCAGGCAAGGCTTCCTCGGCAAGGTATATACTTTTGTCACATTTTTATTCTCTTTTTTATTTTGTGATTCCTTAGTTTTGAGGTCATTTCTTAGGCATTAACTTGACAGAATCTATACTTCGCTTTTGGTCCGTTTTCTAGAAGAAAATAAAACAGAGCTATGTGCACTTCTAAGTTGGTTTTTCTTTTTGAATTCATGGATTGATATTTTTCTTGAAGATAAAGTTTTGATCTTTCTTTTCCTTTTGAGTTTTCAGATTCTGGCAAATGTAGAAGAGACGATTGGTGTTGGCAAAGGAGAAACACAGCTCTATGCGACGATTGATCTGCAAAAAGCTAGAGTTGGGAGGACGAGGAAGATTAAGAACGAGCCTAAAAACCCAAAGTGGTATGAATCGTTTCATATCTACTGTGCACACTTGGCTTCGGATATCATTTTCACTGTCAAAGATGATAACCCCATTGGTGCCACCCTCATCGGGAGAGCTTACGTTCCTATTGACGAAGTCATTAACGGCGAGGAAGTCGACCGGTGGGTCGAGATCTTGGATAATGACAAAAACCCCATCCATGGAGGATCAAAGATTCATGTGAAACTACAGTATTTCCATGTCGAGGAGGACCGTAACTGGAACAAAGGTATCAAAAGTGCTAAGTTCCCTGGAGTACCCTACACGTTCTTCTCGCAGAGGCAAGGCTGCAAAGTTTCACTGTACCAAGGTGCTCACATTCCAGACAACTTCGTCCCGAGGATCCCTCTCGCTGGTGGGAAGAACTATGAGCCTCAGAGATGCTGGGAGGATATCTTCGATGCCATAAGCAACGCGAAACATCTGATCTACATCACCGGGTGGTCTGTTTACACCGAGATCGCTCTAGTGAGGGACTCGAGGAGGCCGAAGCCAGGAGGAGATATGACTATCGGTGAGCTACTCAAGAAGAAAGCTAGTGAAGGCGTCAGGGTTCTTTTGCTTATTTGGGATGACAGAACCTCTGTTGATGTGCTCAAGAAAGATGGTCTCATGGCTACTCATGATGAAGACACCGAGAATTACTTCAGGGGAAGCGATGTCCATTGTGTTCTGTGCCCTCGTAACCCCGATGACGGTGGTAGCTTCGTGCAGAGCTTGCAGATCTCTACTATGTTCACGCATCACCAGAAGATCGTCGTCGTGGACAGCGATTTGCCGAGCCAAGCAGGATCACAGATGAGGAGGATCGTGAGTTTTGTCGGCGGTATCGATCTCTGCGATGGGAGATACGACACTCCGTTCCACTCCTTGTTCAGGACGTTGGACACAGTCCACCACGATGACTTCCATCAGCCTAACTTCACCGGTGCATCTATCACCAAAGGTGGTCCTAGGGAGCCATGGCAGGACATCCACTCTCGTCTCGAAGGTCCCATCGCTTGGGATGTAATGTACAATTTCGAACAGAGGTGGAGCAAGCAGGGTGGTAAAGACATCCTAGTCAAGCTGAGAGAGCTCGGTGATATCATCATCACTCCTTCTCCTGTCATGTTCCAAGAGGACCACGACGTGTGGAACGTCCAGCTGTTTAGATCCATCGACGGTGGAGCTGCTGCCGGGTTTCCAGAGTCGCCTGAAGCTGCTGCTGAAGCCGGTCTTGTAAGTGGAAAGGATAACATCATTGATAGGAGTATCCAAGATGCCTACATTCACGCCATCAGACGTGCCAAAGACTTCATCTACATCGAGAACCAGTACTTCCTTGGGAGCTCTTTCGCCTGGGCCGCCGATGGTATCACCCCTGAGGACATCAATGCTCTGCACTTGATCCCAAAGGAGTTATCCCTCAAGATCGTTAGCAAGATCGAGAAAGGAGAGAAGTTCAGGGTTTACGTCGTGGTTCCGATGTGGCCTGAAGGTCTCCCGGAGAGTGCATCAGTGCAAGCTATACTAGACTGGCAGAGGAGGACCATGGAGATGATGTACAAGGATGTTATTCAGGCACTCAGGGCACAGGGCCTAGAGGAAGATCCCAGAAACTATCTGACATTCTTCTGCCTCGGAAACCGTGAGGTTAAGAAAGAAGGAGAGTACGAGCCTGCAGAGAGACCAGACCCTGACTCAGACTATATGAGGGCGCAAGAAGCAAGGCGCTTCATGATTTACGTACATAGCAAGATGATGATCGGTATGTTGTGTTATACACACTTCAATTTAGAGAATTTTTTGTGTGTGTGACTCACTTTGACCCATTTTTGCAGTTGATGATGAGTATATAATCGTGGGATCTGCCAACATCAACCAGAGGTCGATGGATGGAGCAAGGGACTCGGAGATAGCAATGGGAGGCTATCAACCACATCACTTGTCACATAGACAACCAGCTCGTGGCCAGATCCATGGGTTCCGTATGTCGCTCTGGTACGAACACCTGGGGATGCTCGACGAGACTTTCCTCGATCCCTCGAGCTTGGAGTGCATCGAGAAAGTTAACCGCGTTGCTGATAAGTATTGGGACTTGTACTCGAGTGAGTCACTCGAACATGACTTGCCCGGTCACTTGCTCCGCTACCCGATCGGTGTAGCCAGCGAAGGGGACATCGCTGAGCTCCCGGGAGTCGAATTCTTCCCAGACACAAAGGCACGTATCCTCGGAACCAAATCAGACTACTTGCCTCCAATCCTTACAACCTAACTTCACTGGGGCATGTCTAGTAATGATCTCTCTTCTCTCTCTCTCTGCGTTGTTGCTGCTTTAGCTTTGAATAAATCGAGTGGTCTCTCTCTACCTTTAGAACTAATAAGTTAAGCGTTGGTTTGATGATGCACTTTTTACCCCCTTTGGTTTTGAAATTCGAACAATGACGTGGTGAGAATGTAGCTTTGTGATATTCTTGTTGTTGTTATGTATCGTTGAACTTTATGAATCTTATATTTGATCTTTTTTTTTTATTGATTATCGGTGCCAGATTGTGTGTTTCACATCAAAAGTTTAGATGTTGTTCGTCTTGATTCAAAAAGTTTGAAATTTTCTTTGTAAGAGACGATAAAACTCAAAATAGATCAAATCAAATAGCTTTGCTACGAAGTTTCGCAAGACTTCTTCTTGAGTAGTTCTTTGGAAGTACGGAAAATTACTTATTTTTGAAAACATGTTGGAGTCTTATTGGTTTAAATGGTAGAGTCATTCGCAAGTATTTGGGTTCTCGAGGTGTCGACAGAACACGTGTATGAAGCCCTAAATCCTCATCAGCTTTAACTAAAATTCATTCGATATTGTCTGTGCAATAAGGTCAGTGGTTAACATTCCATCATCCAAGTTAATCAGTCGACAAAGTTTCAATAATTCTCGTTACTACACTTGCGTCTTTCTTTCCTGAATAGTTTTATTAAGAACCCTTATCCTTCCAAGATTTTTGTTTTGTTTGTCGACGAATAAGACTTTTCTACACACAAGTTTTTTTATCCAAACTAAATAACGGACACTAGTTGATAAAAAAAAAAAATTATACATATGAGAGACTAAAGACGGTGAAATTTATACATAGGTGTCTCTAAAATACAATTTTTTATTCACTAGGAAGAACAGTCTTACTCTAATTAAATTTTGTTTATATATATTTTATTTTCCTTCTCCCACTAGGATATGTGTGAGTAACGAAGCACCAAATCTAAATTGCACTCCTCTTTTCCAACTTTTATATATTTCATTTATTTATTTTTGTTAAATTTTCTCTCGAATTATATTTGTATAAGTATAGAAGAGAGTCAAGAGAAGAGATCCTACCATATACTTTTTTTCAACAGTTGTTAAGTTACAAGTCTGACCAAGTCTCTGCAAAAACACACACACACGTCTCTCCTCACAACCAATCACCGATCAGCTCAGCCCAAATTCTCTTTTCCGTTTGTTTTTCTTGAGAAATCACTTTCTGTATTTCTCCAAATTCGCAGGTTAAAGAAACTTCAAGGCTCATGTCTTGTATGTTGGGTTGTTCTAATGGCACCGTTGCGATTGCCACCGCCATGGTTTTCTCGAGCACGGCTCTGTTTCTCGCGATGGCTCGCCAGTTCCATGGGAATCAAACCTCTAAGGTTCAAGATCAGACTCCAGTGACTCCAGGACCAATCCTCCGTTCTTGTCTATCTTCAGGTACGATCTTTTTCTCTCGGGCTCGTAAGTTTCTGTTTGTTTTTCCCGGAATTTTTAAGTTTTTCTTGGGATGCAGAGGAAACGAAGAAACAGAGGAAGAAGAAGAATAAGAAAGTTCGCTTCGCGGAGAATGTGAAAGATACGAAAGGGAACGGTAAAGAGTACCGGATGAGGGAACTGAGCTGGAGAACCGTACCGGAACCAGTGACTAATCCGGGAAAGACCGGTTCAAATTGTGGAATCTCCACGATACCAGCGAACCGGATGGCTCTGTACAATGGGATTCTCAGAGACCGAGATCACAGAACTCAATGTTCTTATTGACTTCTCTTCTTACAGTTTTACTTTTCTTTTTTTTTTCCGATAATATACGTTTTCTTGGAAGTTCAAGGAATTGTATAGTAGGTGGTCTTCTTCTTCTTCTTTGTTGATTCATAGTAGTAGGCGGTCTTCTTATTCTCTGCTTTGTGTAATTATTTGCTATGATGCCACGATGTATATAGTTGACCTGTAAATCAGTCACTAGCAAGTTGCCATATTGAGCAAGTAAAATAAAATAATTTGGTAAAAGATGTGGCATTGAACTATAGAATTTATATTGTTTGTGTTAAAACTTTTATTTGTTTGGCTAACTATAGAGTTTACATTGATTTGGCTAACTATAGAATTTATATGAATGTTGCCAGGGTAAATAATCTGTAAGCTAACTTTCTTAAACACAAATCTAATCAAAACCAAACTCCACAACAAGTGGCCTTTGGTGGATAGGAGAAAGTTTAAAACCAAAACTTAAGGACCAATGTGAACGGAATAACCAACGACTACCAAATTGCACGTAATTAATTATTTAGGTTTTTGTGAATAATATTTTTTTTTTTTGTTTGCTAAGATTTCCTTGAAAAGTTTAATAATTTGCTTATGTCTACCGTAGAAAAAAACCACCTAACTTTTTCTTTAAAAGTGTCAAAATGGGTCAAAATTCATACATCAATCCAATTCGACCAACTTAATAAATTTTAATGAAACTCTAATAGATTCATGAATCAAATTAATTGGGTTGAAATGAATTGACGTATTAAAATGAATTACCCAACACGTTGAAACTAGAAAGTTTGAAGAAGCAGGATGTCATTCGGTAATTTAAGAGATTGTGATTAGTTAAAGAGATTTTTTTTTTGTTAGAATAAACTTAACTTGTATCTATACTATTAAAAGAAGATCATACTTAATAAATGTTCAAAAGCTATCATGGTATTTACAGTATATGTTATTATATTTACTAGACAATTTCATTAATTCATTAAGAGTAATTTAGTCATTTCATTAAACCACTAAAAATGTATTAAATTAAATTAAATTATATTAGTTTACTAATAGATAATACCAATAAATTATATCTAATATTTAATAAAATTCAAATTAATTTAATTTCGAAATTATTTCAAAATCTTTCATAATATCTTAACATAATTACCGCAACTATATATGGCATGAATAATTAATATAATTATATATTATATTATCAATTAAATATATATTATATTATAATCAATTTTTTCTCTATACAATTAAAAAAAAGCACTACTTTAAAATATTTAAAAGCTAATATGATATTTATTAAATGTGACAGTTTATAGTCAATAATGAATATGTAATCTTTATTTTTTGATTACATATATACATACTATGAAAAAAATACTATGTAAATAATTTTTTCATGGTTTGGTAATGATTTTTTTGCTGGAAATCATGGGTTTTGCGGATTTGACAAACATAAATTTGTAGATATTACAGGTTTTACAAGTTTTAGTGAATTTTATAAGTTTTAGCGGAAAATATACTTTTATGAGAAAATGTCGGTTTAACAAGAAATATGTTTTTATAGATTTAGCAGAAACACATGATTTTAGAAATTTGGTTTTGCAGATTTTATGAGGTTTACAGGAAAACAGGGGTTTACGGAATGCGAATAACGCAATTTTACGGATTTTATGGGTTTTAGCAGGAAAATATAGTCATACGGGAAAATACGGGTTTGTGGGTTTGGAAACTCGATTTTGCAGGTTTGGTAGAAACACATGAGTTTAAAAATTTGGTTGTAAAACATGATTTTAAAGATTTTACAAATTTATGGAAAATATGGGTTTGTAGATTTGGTCAGAAATGTAATTTTGCGGATTTTATGAGGTTTACATGTTTTAGCGGGGTTTATAGGTTTTGATGAAAAATGAGGATTTATAGATTTTATTGAAAATGCAGGATTGCGGATTTGATAAAAAACGTAATTTTGCATGTTTGACAAAAACACATAATTTTAGAAATTTGGCCATAGAATACGGTTGTATGGTGTTGGGAAAACATAAATTTTGGTTTTGTTAAAAAATGTGGGTTTACAATTTTGGAAGAAAAATACGGTTTGATGGAAAATGCTATTTTTACAGTTTTTACGGGAATTCCTGATTTTGGTACAACAACATGATTTTAGTAATTTTGATTTTGTTAAAAAATGTGGGTTTACAGTTTTGGCAGGAAAAATACTGTTTGAGGGAAAATGTTATTTTTACATTTTCTACGAGAATTCTCGATTTCGGTACAACAACATGATTTTAGTATTTTGTGGGAAAACTCTGATTTTATGATTTAAATTAAAAATGCTGCTTTTGCGGGAAAATGCTGCTTTTTATTTCGGTCGAAAACTCTGATTTTATGGTTTAAATTAAAAATGAATTTTGTTCTTTTAATTTTTGAGATTCAAATGCTGCATTCAAACTCTATTTTTTTAGCATCTTAAATATTCAAATTTTGAGATATTATAGGTTTTGTATTCAGATATTTAAAAAAACTATATTTGAACATTTACATCCAAATAAGTATATGGATGCAAAAACAAATAAAACCTAAGTAAATATTGAAATCTTAATTACAAACAAATTAAATCTCTCTTGTATTATAAATATAATACTTTGAAAATATTTTTTACAAAATTTAACCTGAAATCCGCTAATCAAAATATCTTTTTTTTTAGAAAATCAAGCCTAGATAATATTAAGAATATAAAACATAACGTAAAATTAATTTATATAATCTAATAAAGAATTCCTGTTTGAGCCGCAATTTTGAATCTAATAATATAAGCTGAGTTTTTTGAATAAAAGTTTAATATAAACTAATTTTTGGTATGGTTTAAAAACATTTTATGAAAAGAAACCCGTGCGCGGATAAAAATCTAGTTTGTTGATTAAAGCAAAATATTTGCAGCTTATGATGATTATTCGTCCTCATTTTTTTTTTTAAACTGGGAGTAGTCCTTTTATAATTTATAAATATGGTACGTAACTAGTAATTAACTAATTCCGTATGCGTGTTTACAGATTTTTTTGAAGTAAGAAAAGAGAAAAGAGAAATGAGGTCTAAATTTTATCATCCACGAAAAAAATGGCGACGGTTTTGTCCAACACGACCATAAGCTCTAATTTCTACCACCACTCAGTCCTGCCGCCGTTTCACCTTCGCCGTCGAAGCAGCTTCGTTCTCTCGACTCCTCGCCGCTTACGCCGCCTAGCTGCTGTTGGTGGCCCTCCATCTCCTCCGAGTCCTGATCCGTCTCCGCCTGAGAACAGTACTCAGCTTGAAGGTTCAATTCTTCATGCCCAGATTAATTTTATGCTGCATCCGAATTTCGAATTTCGAATTTGTTCTGTTGGGTCTTTTTGTATCCAGTTTTCACTTAAAGAGGTGTTTTTGGTCGGAAGATTCAATTTTCTTTTTTGTCGGATAGTTTGATGCATTTGTGGTTTTACTTAACTATAGTCTATAGTCTTTGTGATTGGTACTTGGTACATGCTATTGGCTCGTCCTGCCTGAGATCATCACTGTTTCATGAATATTCGAAACCAGGAGATAATTGTATTCAATTAGTTGTGTCCAATCCATGGAACTAAAGTTCACATCCTGTTGTGGGATTTCGTTTTAGGCAAATTAGGATTGCAGAATCTGCACCTCCTTGTGATCCAAAAGGGCAGCCATTTCTACATGTTCTGTTGTATAGAAATGTGTGTTTGTTCTCTGGAACGAGTCCATATGTTATATTGAATAGAGCTTTGTGGTGATTCGTTATAGAAAATGATATATATGCAAGAAATAGAAAACACTCAAATCTCTTCTTCTCCCATTAATCCTTTCAAACATATTTGGGTTTTAACTTTGTTTTTGTTTGTTTTGTTTTGGCGTTGGATAGGATTTGTAGGAGCTGTGACAAGGATCCAAGACCGTGTAAAGATCTTCCTCGCAGTGCTGTTTTGGATGTCTCTCTTCTTCTGGGTTACAGTGACTGATGGGAGGGGTAAAGGAAAAGGGAAGAAGGGTTCAGGTTTTAAATAATTTTCACCCCCAAGTCTTATTGATTGGTCATCATCATCAATACTCTCGTCTACTACACTTGTGTATAATATATATACATCTATGTGCAAGGATCAGAAAATAGCTGTAGAAATTCGCCAAAACAAGCATATTTTCTTGTAGATCAGTTAATCAGAATGTTGGGATACAATAATACATGATAAGATGATTCTCTCTTCTTATCTTCTTGGTAAGATATAGATATTAATCTAACATAGTGTTATCATCCCCTTTACAGTCACCAGATCATTTTGCATCAGTTCATGTTTTATAGTCGTTTTTTTTTTAATTGCTGCTGCCTTTGAGTGAAACAGAAACGGGCCTTGAAAGATGGATTATTAATGGGCCTAACATTTGTTGAAATTGAACGCCGTCGCTTTCTTCGTCCAGACTCCAAATCAATAATGCATTATTTTTCTCAAAATAAAGAAGGTCGTTGGAATATTTGGCACGTGCATTTCATGACCACCAAGTGATTTCCAAGTATTGCATTTAATGCGCACATCTCGAGTCGACGACGTGCCCTTTTAACACGTTGTTAACTTTTTTTTTATTAAGGCTTTAACGTGTCGTTACCATCTGATGATAGATATGTAAGAGCGCATCATAGCAGACACGTGGTTAAATTCCATTGGTTTGTTAGTTAAAAATGTGTGTTACCAAGTGACTTTATCATACTTCTTTGGGTACGAAAAGTCTTTAGACATGTTGTTGTCAATTTACAGAGAAACGAGCAGAGCCAACTAACCCCCAAAACACACACAACAAAAGCCCTAATTTCTCAACCGTCTTCTCCGTGGTGACTCTGTGAGTCTTTTCTTTTCCGACACTCAAAACCCTCATAGGTTATCTGTTGCTAAAATCGACCAAGAGTAAATTTTAAATTGTTAAAATTTTGGGTTGCACTTTGTAATTTATATTTTTTCTGTTCTCAGGGATTTTGCAACAGGAAGGGAGACAAATGGGTACCGAAGAGGAAACTGTCTCTGTTGAGCTACCAGCACCGTCTTCATGGAAGAAATTGGTTTGTTTTCTTTGTTTCCTCTTGATAATATTAGCTAATGAAAGTAGAAAAGCCGTAGACTTTGTGTATAATGAAATGCAATTACCAAATGTCTTTGTCTTAACTCTTTTTAGCCTTTAAAGACCTGAAGATGGTAGTCTTTGGTAGTGAATTGTTAGTTAGTATATATGTTAATTTGGGTGATACCAAAGTCATAGACTTTTTTTAAAAAAAGCCACATTTGATTTGTTTGATCTACTTCTTCTTTCCTTATGGCATTTCCTAATTCTTATGGACGTTAAGCCACTTGTAAACCCTTATTAAGCCACCACATTAGGTTCGTCTTTAGATATTAAACCTCCACAAAATTTCCAGAGGTTTACATTTCTAAGTCAAGGTGACATCTTTTTTTTTCTTCTTTGCAGTTTTTCCCAAACAAAGTGAAGAAAACAGAGATTGTGTTTGTTGCTCCAACGGGTGAGGAGATCAGTAGCAGAAAGCAGCTGGAGCAGTATCTCAAGTCGCACCCTGGAAACCCTTCGATCACAGAGTTCGATTGGACAACTAGTGGGACACCAAGGAGATCTGCAAGAATCGGTGAGAAGACCAAGTCGTCAACCGCAACGCCGTCACCGGATAAAGAGCCACCAAAGAAGCGAGGTCGAACTAAATCTCCAGGTTCAAAGAAAGATACAGAAGGTGAGAAATCAGAGGGAGGAGTGGAAAACTCTCATGTGCAAGATACTGCTGAAATGACTCTTCCAGAGAATGAGAATGTAACTGTTAAGGACGGCTCTGGTGACACTGAGAAGGCGAATGATGCAAAAGACGACATGGTTGCAGAGGGAACTCCGGATCTTGCTCCGGTTCAAGAAGCTGGTGACTCGGTGATGGAGAAAGTGGAGTCTCAGGCTGACAAAGAAGAGGAGAATGGCTCAATGGAAAAGAAATCGGTTGATGCTGAGAATAAGACCGTTGAAGCTACTGGTGAGGAGAAGAAGGAAGCTGCAGGAGGCGAAGGAGCACCTGAGTCTGAAGCCGAGACTAGAAACCATGAGGGAAATGGTCTGACAACAGAAGCTGAGGAGAAAGTGAAAACGGCAGAAGCAGAAGTTACTGAATAGCCATGCCCCTTGCTCTGTTTCTGCTAGCTCATGTGTTGTGTAAGTCAGTTGTTTCTGTTAATCTATTGAAGTCTCTGTTTTCGTTTTTTTACCATTTCATCTTCTTTTAGTTGTTGTACCAAATTAGTGATGATCGCGGTGAAAGACGTTATTAGGCGGAGGTATGTACTATGAGATGCCTGCAGTATTATGTGCATCTTCTCTTAGGTTTAAGATTATGTAGAGGATTATTATTAACTCTTCTGTAAAACTATTGCAACTACTATGTGTTGGTGTTTATCTTACTTACTACTGCCATCTTTGATTTCTGTTTTTACTTTATTTATGGATAACCAAATTATAAATAAGTTATAAGTCCGATTAAAGATCAGCTGAATGGTTTTTTTTTAAGAGCAAAAAGAAAACTTTTTTTGCTTTGAAGGTAAAGTAAGAATCTAATGCAAAGAAAGACCCACAATGTTAGTTTTCTTATTTCATTGATTCAAGTTTCAGAAGAATCTATTGATTTTGCCTCTTTAACAACGTCCCTTGATTCCTTCCTTTTGCATGGTCCCGGTAACAAAGGTTAAGAATCTTCCTATTAAGCGACAACACAATAGTATAAACTCTTCTGGTTCCCATTTTAGAACAAAAAAACATCATTTGAGTCAAATCTTAAATGCATATCTCAGATATGGAATATTCGCGTATGGCTTACACTTCTTTCTTCCTCTCGCTTCTCTTCGTCTTCTCCATCTTCTCTTCACAAACGGCCGAAGCATTCACCGGAACATACGGTGTAAACTACGGTCGCATAGCCGACAACCTCCCGTCTCCTTACGCGGTAGCAACTCTCCTTAAATCAGCAAAGATCAGAAACATCCGTATCTACGACGCTGATCACTCCGTCCTCACTGCCTTCCGTAACTCCGGGATCGAGATCATCATCGGCTTAGGCAACGAGTTCCTCAAGGACATTAGCGTTGGAGAAGACCGAGCCATGAACTGGGTTAAAGAAAACGTCGAACCTTTCATACGTGGCGGTACTAAGATTAGCGGTATCGCCGTGGGAAACGAGATCTTAGGTGGCACCACTATCGAGCTTTGGGAAGTTCTCTTACCCGCGGCCAAGAACGTTTACACCGCTCTTCGCCGTCTCGGACTTCACACTGTCGTAGAGGTATGTTCTTTTCCAAATAAATCCTCAAATTCTATTTCTTGAAAAGAATCTACATTTTATCAACGTTAACGGCCATTTTATTATATTATGTTTTGTAACATCAAATTTCGAATTTAAATAATATTTTTCATAATTTTTGTTTGTAGGTGTCGAGTCCACATTCGGAGGCGGTGTTTGCAAACTCGTATCCACCGTCGTCTTGCACGTTCAGGGACGATGTGGCGCCGTTTATGAAGCCGTTGCTAGCGTTTTTCTGGCAAATTGGGTCGCCGTTCTACATTAACGCTTACCCTTTTCTAGCTTATAAATCTGATCCGAGCCACATTGACCTCAATTACGCTATCTTCGAGCACACGGATGGCATCTACGACGCCAAAACTAAGCTTCACTATGATAACATGTTCGACGCCATGGTTGATGCTTCTTATGCTGCTCTCGAAAAAGCTGGTTTCCCTAAAGTGCCGGTACGTACTCCTTAATTATATCACTATTACGTAGACTTCGGTCCAGTTACATTTTTATGTTTGGGTTTTGCTTAACATGCCATCTTTTCAATATAATCTTTTTTTATTTTCTTTTAATCAAACTTCTTCTATCTTGAAAATATATAAACCAACTTATTTGCGTGTAGGTCATTGTTTCGGAGACGGGATGGGCATCGAAAGGTGACGCAGACGAAGCCGGAGCGACTGTGAAGAACGCCAAAACGTATAACCGGAATCTTAGGAAACGGCTGAAGAAGAGAAAAGGCACACCGTACAGACCAGACATGGTGGTGAGAGCTTACATATTTGCTCTCTTCAACGAGAATCTGAAACCGGGTCCCACTTCCGAGAGAAACTTCGGTCTTTTCAAACCGGACGGTAGCATTGCCTACGACATTGGCTTCACCGGACTCAAGTACTCTTCTGCCACGCGGTGTCGTTTTGGGACGTCCTTGAACGCTCTTGTTTCGGCTTGTGTCGTTATGTCTCTTCTTATTCACCGTTTGTTGCCCTTGTCGTGAGAGTTGTGATTTTCAAGAATTTCAAATTGACCCCTTTGGTTTAGTCATTAAGTTAACCCCGTAATTCTTTGTTTGTTTGTGGTTAATCACTTTTTTTTTTTTTAACTCTGTAAGTGTTTTTTATAAAAACAACTTATTTGATCTACATGCATGTGCTTATTTTTAAACGATTTAACTTTGTAAGTGTTAATATAAGAACAACTTATTTGATCTACATGCATGTGCTTATTTTTAAACGATGTTGTTTGGTAACTTGAAATGTTAGATTTTTTCTACATTTTATTTATGTACTTATTACGAACTTTCGAAAGTTACAAACACAATTGAATAGAAGAAGACTATAGTCTGACTAAATGAACAAATGTTGTGAAAGAGAACTTTTACAACTACTGTCAACATACACTAAAAGTATCCTCGCCTAAATTTAGTATTACTTGTAGCTTTTGTATTTTGTTTTGTTTATGGTCCATTTGGTATACAACTAATCAAATATATATATTATGAAAGGATTGTGGATATGTGTAATGTATGTATCTGTATATATATTAATCATGTATTTACGACAGCACGAAAAATGTGATTACGATAACGAATCAGGTATAGAGGTGGAGCAAGTAGTCAAGATATATATATCCTCCCTCTTTATTAGATTCCCATATATTGTACTAAATTGTTTTGATCAAATCTTATTCGACCACCTTCTATTTATGTATTAATATTCTTACGCACTCTCTGATCTTATGTCAACCAATTGACACCTAAAATAGAATTATTCACGATTCACGATGACTTATAAATTTCCACTTGGCATTTAACACATGTGTACAATACACGTTCCTTAGTTACAACTTACATCTCATATACTATACGTACAATAAAATATTAGTACTGTATTGTAATTAACATCATAAATGAATAATTTGATCTGATCATCATTTATACATTTAATGTGGTCAATGGATGGATCTAGATCAACATCATAAATGTTGAAACATTTTCTAGCATAATGTATATATGAATTGCAAGTAGACAAAATAAACTTGTAACATCAACATATATAGTCAACTCAAATGTCCGGAGACAGAGACTATATATTATGTAACGTAGCAACTTTATGTTTTTACACATAATGATGATAGTTGATACACAAACAGCCTCAAATGTCCAAATCCAAAGATTTGAAAAAAACCCAAAGATTAGATTCGATTCGTTAAACCGGAACAGAGGTTTGACCATTTTATAGAGAGGTGAGACCGTGAGAGAGACTAATCCTCTACAAAAGGATGCACCTGCTCATCACCAATCTCAACTGGATCGTCACCGTTGATCTGGTCAAGCACGAGGACCAAACCCATCGCAAAAGCGCCGTCGAAACCGGGTTTAACCTCGAGAGTGAACACATCTCGTCCAAGCATCACGTTCGTTGACGCGTCCACTTTGCGTTTGATCTCAGCCACAGTTCGCTTCTCTGTGTCGTATATGAGGCAGCTTCGTTGCGAGAAGTCTCCATCGATCGTGTACTCTTCTCCTGTCCCGTCGTAAACATCTACTTCCATCGTGCACCGTCCGATTATCGACGATCTCCGAACGCTGAAGATCGGTTTCTGACCCTCCGATCTCTCCCCGAGAAAACCTTCCCATCTCTGGTGCAGAGTCGGTCTCTGTTCATCATAACAAAACCAACTCAACGAGATGACTCAGTATCATCTCGAAACAAATAACAAATACCACATATATAATTGCTCAAAATCATTTCTTCAGATTCTTTTCAAGCAAAAACAAAAAAAAAATCCTTCTTTTTTAATCAAATCAGCCAATTGTTTACTCAAACGCAACAGTTTTCAAATGTAACAGATATTTTTCCACAAGCTATCAAGAACAAGAAACGATACCCATCAATGAAATTCATTTAGCAAACAAAACCCATCTAATCAAAACCAGCAAAGCATCAAACTTTATTTCTAATCACCGAGTCACCTTAACGGGTTGACTGTAACTCGTCCCAACTCAATAAAAAAAAAAGGCAGAGAGAAAGGATGATTGGTCGACTCAATTTAATTAAAAAGTTTACCTTTCGTTTAACGGTGAGGAGACACTTTCCGGTGGCGTTCATGAGGACAAACTCATCGTTATCTCTTGTGTCGGGTCCGTACGAATCGACCCTGAAGATGATATCGCCGTTACAGTCGTAGGCGGCGAAACCATCGCCGGTGTAGAAGAGAGAGGTTTTGCAGACGGTGAGTGGTTTGTCTTCTTCGTAGAGATAAGCTTTGTCGACCACAATTCTTTTTTCTCCCATCTTAATTCCTTCTTTTGGAAAGGTCTCTTCAACTAATTCCATTTTTCTTTTGTTTTCTCTTTTTTTGGTGTGTGTGTGTGTTTGTGTGCGGAAGTTAGATTTTGTGGTTTGATTAACGAATGATTATGAATGATATGGACACTCTTCTCCTCCCTTCCCAATGCCTCTATTTATACACACATACACGCTCGTGACGCGTTTATATTATGAAATATCTCTTAATAGTAGTTTCCTTCCCTAAAGTCTAAATTGTTATTGTCCAGAAATAAAAAAAAGTCGTCTGTCTATATATATAGTTTAAATTAACATGCGATGGCTTGAAAAATGTTATTTTAATCGGTTTTATTAAACTTGACTCTAATCCATTTTTAGATCTGTTTACACGCCGGTTTTGTATCCAAGTTGATGGGTATTTTTAACATTAGTGTTTAGTGTGTATGTCTGTGTTGCAAAATGTTTTATGTACTCACACGGCCAGTTTATAATTGTAACTACAAGTACTTTGTAAAATAAAATTTTATTATGTTTAAGGAAAAACAATTTTCCAGAATTGTATATAACTTTTTCTACGTTAGATTAGAAAAGTAAAAATTCGTGATCGTACTGACTACTGTGTACTGAGTGAATGAATGATGTCAATCTGCCAAAAAGATAAAGTTGCGTTTCATTTTGCTTGGTACGTATCAATCATTTTCTTTGTTCATAACTTTGTTTTTTTTTACTGTCGATTAGCTTTTTTATTTACTGCAGCTTGCGCTGCTCTGGATGACAAGACATTCTTTTTTACCTTATAGAATCATATGAGAAAGTTGTAAGTATTTGCATATTAGTTACAGTAAAACTTTGGCATCAGAAAATCAACCAACTTTTTGTTACAGATATTTTTCGCACACTGTGTTAAATTAAAATATGTATAATAATTTGTAAATTGGAGTATTTAAAGAATTATTAATTTTAGGTATAAGTTACACTTACATATAAAAATCATCTACATTTTTCAATGTCACGAATAATTTTAAAATCGTTTTAAATCAACAAGTAACAAATGTCCTTCATATTGGGTGGGGATTCAAGTGGTTTTAGTGCAATCCAATAGCCAATAGTTAACTTAAAAAATGTGAAAGAATATTTGCGCTTTGTCAAACGTCTAAAAACTCTATTAACTTGACAAAAAGCAATTTACAAAAAAAAAAAAAAAAAACGAGGCTCCATGATGTCTCTTTGCACGCCTTGAAGATCTCTCTCCAAGAGTGGCGATGGTGAAAAAAACTATCGGATTAAGTCCAGAGACGATTTGAGAAACCGAAGATATGCTTGACCAAATCAAGTTCCAATCTACTTCAGAAATCAACATGATCAGAAGATCATAAAAAGTTAACTGTTTGAAACTACTCACAGCAAAGACGAAGCTCTCAAAATCGTAATCTAAATCCTTAATGCAATAGTTGTATTCAAAGAAACATCAAATCTTTCGATATTCTACATAATCTTCAATTCGGATTGCATGCAATTTATTAATAGATACACCAATAATGCGTTTTTTATGTGATAAAACTAGTTGCAAATAAGAATCTCATACTCTTCTCTATCTTTTTTTTTTGGTTTGTCGTGGAAAATACCACACTTGACATATTAAAAGAACAACATGTCGGTACAAAAAATATAAGCCCAACAAAGAGAAAAAAAATAAAAAAAAGGAATAGCGTATAATAAGCTTAATGTCGCTCTCTAACCTCAGATTCATCGTTTTCGTATGAACTGTCTTAGCCCAAACAATCTTCCTTCCACAGTTCAAAAATTATAAAACAATTCTTCCTTCGAAATCTCCGCCTCGTATCTCTTTATATAACCCGTCGTCTATCTAAACCCCGAAATGCTCTTCTCCGTTAAATCTAACGGTCATGTCAACTAAAACCGTCGTCCCTCTCCGTCGCAGATCTAAGCCCCTTAACGGAAATCACACTAACGGCGTCGCCATTGACGGAAGCCTCGACGACGACCACAACCGTCGCATCGGATCAGTAAATAGCCAAATGGATAACATTGCTAAGAAAACGGACGACGGCTACGCAAACGGCGGAGGAGGAGGAGGAGGAGGGAAAAGCAAGGCGTCGTTTATGACGTGGACGGCGCGTGACGTTGTGTACGTGGCGAGGTACCATTGGATACCGTGTTTGTTCGCGGTCGGGGTTCTGTTCTTCACGGGCGTGGAGTACACGCTCCAGATGATTCCCGCGAGGTCTGAGCCGTTCGATATTGGGTTTGTGGCCACGCGCTCTCTGAATCGCGTCTTGGCAAATTCACCGGATCTTAACACCGTCTTAGCCGCTCTAAACACGGTAATTTCGTACTAATTAATTTAGGGTAAAAAATATAGTATTTAATAATGACTATCCTCAATTCCTTTCATGCTTCACCTAATATTTTGTTTTTTTTCGTTGTCATTAAAATCGTAATAATATATTGAGTTAGTCAAATGAAAAAAACAAGTGGCGGTAGTGATTGGAAACAAATCTCAGATCTTTTATCTGTTTAATAAGGTATTTAATTATCCAGCTGGAATTATGCTGTCAAGTGTCAACACAGTAGTAGTAACATGCAATGGAATTTCTCAATAGAAAAAGGTCTTAATTAGTATAGATAATTAGTGGACAAAAATGTAGTTAATGTAATCTCTTTGCTAAGTAGTTATCATAATCATCTTTTTAACAACTGCCATTTTGTCTGTGTGTTTGTTTTACAACGAAGTAGTAGTAGAATAGATCGCTTTTTAGCTTTTGAAAGTTTCGAACCCAAGGAAAAGGGACACATGGGTTATGAGTTGGAGACACGATCACATGCAAACAGAGAGATTGGTTAAATTATCGACTTTTTGTAGTACTTTTTAAAAAAAAACTATTTATATAAAAAACATGGTGGATGGTGGGGACAGGTGTTCGTAGGGATGCAAACGACGTATATTGTATGGACATGGTTAATGGAAGGACGACCACGAGCCACCATCTCGGCTTGCTTCATGTTTACTTGTCGAGGCATTCTTGGTTACTCTACTCAGCTCCCTCTTCCTCAGGTTCCAATCAACACTTTTCTTCTATCTCTTTTCTTAATTAAAATAATTACCAATTAACTAAATGCTAATCAGTCGATATATCATAGTTCCAACGTTTTGGACGTGTGATTTCCATTGGCCACTACCATATAAAACAACAGAGTCTCTTTATTCATTATTCAATATATATTTGAGTATTGATATTATTCATAGGGAGGTTTCATTTGTACTATCAATAAAATTTCTACAACTCTTGGATTTTTTCTGCTACATTTTGTAGTTATTTTTTTAATTACTTTTAAAAACTTGTGAATAGGAGAGACTAATAGTAGTACGTAATATGATTGTATCAAATGCTTTAACATGTGGGGTTTGGGTTAACTATCATCATTTCATAGATCACTATTTTGTTTTCGTTTGTTACCTAACTTTTTGTTATCTTTGAAAAATAATGTTCCACGAGTTGATTGACTGGACATAAAAATCAGATTCTCTCACTCATTTACGTTCTACGGTTCTAGCCACTCGTTTTTTTCTTTTTCTTTCTGTGGTGTAACACGTAGATAATGGATTTTCTATGTGTGTCGTCTTGCTCAAGAATAATAAATGTGGTTAAAGGTTAAATATAGCTCTGGAAATTAATTATCTCCTCTTTTTTTATTAACCAGGATTTTCTAGGATCAGGTGTCGATTTTCCGGTGGGAAACGTCTCGTTCTTCCTCTTCTACTCGGGTCACGTCGCCGGTTCGATGATCGCATCTTTGGACATGAGGAGAATGCAGAGGATGAGACTAGCGATGCTTTTTGACATCCTCAATGTATTACAATCGATCAGGCTGCTCGGGACGAGAGGACACTACACGATTGATCTCGCTGTCGGAGTTGGCGCTGGGATTCTCTTTGATTCATTCGCCGGCAAGTACGAAGAGATGATAAGCAAGAGACACAATTTAGTCAATGGTTTTGGTTTGATTTCGAAAGACTCGCTAGTCAATTAATTTTTTGTTTTGCTTTCAAAATGTTTAGTTGAACATATTTAATTTAGTTGGAATCTAATGAATTTTTTTTTCTTTTTTCTTTCAAATGATTCTAATTGAATATACTGTTAATTACTTGAACCTAACTTAATGTGTACGTTATTGTGAAAGTTACAACAGGCGTGTACTTCTTATGGTCTTCGTACAACTATTTCATTCAATTTCAATGTTAGGAGTCATAGGCTCTAATTGTTACTATCGAATGGGGGAATAATAAATTATTAATAAAAATCAATAACTTAAATCTAATATTGTCACTATTCATAATCATTAAACGTGAATGGTGGTGATTCCAGAACATTCTGATGTGATTTTTAAAAGATTTCAAAATTATATAGTGGAGTATGTGGTTTAATTCGATGCAAAATGAAGAACTTTACCAGGGCTTGACATGCTGCGAATCCTCTTGAAAGAGAGGAGTGCCTTCGGAAACGCGGAATCTTTATTAAATTTAATCTTACTTAATTCATTTTCGTTTGTCCATATTGGTATTGCGTAAATTGCCAGTCGCTCAGAGCCTAATTCTACTGATAGCATATTGGTATTATTCCATTGAATATTCTGTAATGTACTTTCTTCACTATTTTTGGTGCAACATGTGTTTTGTTTTCCATTTGTAGGTGAAGATGGTTTTCGTATAAGTTAACGGGACAGGTACACCGATCCATGATCTCATTAGTAATAGTTTGGCTCAGGGGAAAGCAATGGATCGTATTTTGTCTTTCTTGTTGAGAAATTTCTTCAATATAATTAAAAGTCATTAAACTTGTTAGTTCAACTCCTAATAAATAGAGCAACATGTGAGCATTTATAACATTAGGTGGTTTGAAGAAAAGTCAGATAGTATTTTAATTGTGAAGCTCTTTTATAATCAATAAAAAATTAACAAGTGACATTTTATTTATCGTATTTAATTACCACATGTATACATATTTCAATCCAAATACTGATATTAACATATATGTGTCTATATATTTACATGAATAACGATTAGTTCTATTATTCATCAGAATCAGATAAATCGAGGGGACAAGTACCATCATCAACATTAGCCAACGGGTTGAAGTGTTCTGAATTTGTATCCATGCACCCAGGAACCAGGTCCAGATTGCATCTATCTCCCTGAAATGAATTCATAAGTCAAAAAAATTCTTAAATATGTTAGAAAAAAATATAGCCAACAAATGAATTTTAATATGTATAGTTGGTGAGATACATACTCCTTCGACCGTCAAGTTGGCAATCATTGTGCAACGAGTCGCAACGATGTTCGAGTCAGGGAATATAGCTCTCTCGCAGGCTCCATCTTGGCTCAACTCTGTGGCTAGACCCTTTTTGCACCAATTGATAAATTATAATTTATTCGTGCATATTGCGTTTATAGATGAATAAGCAGTAAATTTTAAATCCAAAATTTACCTCATTGAAGAACTCAATAGGTTTGTTTTGCCATCGCTTGGGGACTTGGAACTGAAGTTTGTATGGACCGTCCCAATCGACACCATTGGTAAACGAGAATATCAAATTCACAGCTGAAAATAATTCATACGAACAAGCAAAAATGTCAAATAATACTATACTCCATATAACATATATAAGAATGCTTTGGTTTGGATTTTATAAAAACGGACCGTGCTTAGGAATGCAAATCTGCATAGTGTAAATGGGAGAATCAGCTTTGCCTCGATCTTTCTTAAGCATTGCTCTTGGTTCCCCACCACACATGATTGGTTGGTTAAATCCTCCTGCACCATTAGTAATCAATTGAATAATTCCTTTTCATTTATTTTGTTTGTCCATAAGATCACTCGTCTAATTTAATTTAAAAATGACTAGAAGTTACTCGCAGTCCATACTTTGATGTAGCTACTGGACTAAACCCCATGACTGAGAGTAATACGATTAGTTTGTTAGTTAATATATACCAAAACAATACCAGAAACAACCTTAACTGCGTTAACTCATTGGGACAAATTTTCGAATACAAGCTAATCTGATGTTTTTATGAGAAACTCACCGTTGAAAGCAACCCCATAGTCCTCGTTAGGAGTGAGTTTAGTTGCAGCTGGATTATAGAAGAGTTTCAACTTTTCACCCTAATTCAAAAATTGTTTTATAAGAAGTTTGAGTTAAAAGAGAATTAACTTTGAGCTTAGCATTATGAAATGACTAAAGAGAAACTTACTGCGGTTGGAGGAAGACCGTTCATGGTTTTCCAGTACACAGGAGCAGTCCCCATCTCAAACATTGCCCATGATGGAAGCTTATATCTACAGAAATGATCAATCATATTATAACTATGTTAATTTACACTCTCATATAGTTATATCTAACAAAGTAACAAGACAAGCTAAAACAAAAGGGACAAACTCTTTGGTCTCTTCGAGGGGTGCAAGAGTCGTGGCAACAGCTTTTACTTGTAGTTCAAGTTTCCTTCTCGGAAATCTCCTTTGTATTGGACTGATCGTTGAACTATACACTGTATTATTCAGAAGCTTCAATAATGTTTAGCATCACATAAAAACATATAATTTATAGATCATCATCAAGAAATCAAGAATCTTGATTGAAAAGGACTTACAAAGACTGCGTTTAGAGGATAAAGGCTGCGAAGGAGAGGCAAAAATGGCGGTGGTGTTAGCGGCTGCAGCCATGGAAACCGATCTAATGAGACCCTTTTTTTTTGATGGATGAAGGAAGGAGAGAGTATTTGATATATGGTTTCAAGATAAGGGGTTTTTTGCCACCACAAATACAAATATCTTTTCAAAGATTATCTTACACAGATGAAAACAACGACTTTTAAGTATCATCATAGAGAGAGAAGAAATATCTCTGTGTGATTTTGTTGGAACTTGGAACATTTCCCTTTCACTCTGGAATTTTCTTTAATGGATAAGAAAGAATGGCCCAAAACCAAAATAAGCCCATTTGATAATAACCCATCTAAGCCCAACTTGGGAAATTCAGATTTGTCCTTGGCTTGATCCAAAAAAACAAAATTGTTGAGGCGATTTGTAAGTTTCGAAGAATAGTAAGGGCTCTTGGAGTAAAAAACATAAAATTTGATGTGAAGATCCGCGTTTTGGTTCACTGCCCCAAATTGGCAATCCAAATCCCTAAGACCATCTTATCTTCTCTCTCTCTCTGTATAAGCCGCAATGTAGTTCGTGAGCCACAAAGATGAGATCTTGCACGTCTTTGTCATAACAACTTCTACTTGTGAACATTCAAAAAAGACCGACCCTAATTTATACACGCACACACATTTATCATATATACTATATACAGTATATATATATATGCACTTGTAGGGTTAAAGTCTCTTCTCTTCTTCTTCTCTCGGCCATCACATTGACAATAATGGCTTCTCTTTTGACTTCTCCTCTAACAAAGCCCAAGCCCGTTTTCCTCTCTTCACCTCCACGAGCTCTCAACACATCACCACCGTCGTTGAATTTCACCAGAATTTCGTTCAACCACCACCAAAAGCTCGCTCCTTTCAGGCCTCCGAGTCTCGTCGCCGCATTCTCTGAGAAGGGTCCGAAGCGGGATGTCACAGCAGCTGCAGCGGCGGCTGCGGCGGAGGAAGGGGATTACAGAAGGATAATGCTCTCCGATGTGATGGTTAAGAAGAAGGAGAAGGTGCTCTGGTGGGAGAGAAAGTGGAAACCGATGGATTTTGGGTCGTTTGCTGTGGTTTTGTCAATGCATCTGCTTAGCCTGTTGGCTCCGTTTCAATTCAACTGGAGAGCTGTTTCGGTTGCTTTTGGGCTATATATCGTCACAGGTCTTCTGGGCATTACTCTGTCTTTCCATAGAAACCTCTCTCACAAAAGCTTCAAGCTTCCCAAGTGGCTTGAGTACTTGTTTGCTTATTGCGGAGCTCAAGCTCTTCAGGTGGGTGATTGCGAAATTTTCTCATAGATTTTGATGATAATGTGGCTTATTTTGCATGTTGAAATTGTGAAATTGATGTTGTGTTGTGTCTTCAGGGGAACCCAATTGATTGGGTGAGTACACATAGGTACCATCATCAGTTCTGTGATTCAGACAGAGATCCTCATAGTCCGCTTGATGGGTTTTGGTTCAGTCACATGAATTGGATGTTTGATACCAGTACAATCACCAAAAGGGTAAACTTTTTTTTTTATATTTCTCATATTAAGATTTGTCTGAAAAGTGTAATTCTGTTTGTTTATCAGTGATTTTGTTTTTTTTATGATGTTTAAAGGTTGGAGAGCCCAATAATGTTGGGGATTTAGAGAAGCAGCCATTTTATCAATTCCTTCGAACCACATACATTTGGCATCCGGTGGCTCTTGCGGTTGCTCTATACGCAATTGGTGGCTTCCCGTTCATCGTTTGGGGAATGGTATGTTCTGTGGCTAATTGTGCTTTGTTGAATCTTTATCACTGTTAATTTCCAAAACTAGATATATGATTATGGTGTGTTTTAAGGTCGGCAAAATACAAAATGTATCCACTAGTTTTTTTTGTGTAGCTATCAATTTTCTGGGCCAATTCTCCTCCACCTGATTTTCGCTTAAGACAGCTTGCGTTTTCTTGTCATTTAGTGTAACTTAGATGGTTTTGATCTTAGGCCACGCAAGTTGTGTTAGTTGAAACCACAAGTAAAAATATCTTTATCTTCCTTGTACGAAAATATCTCTGGCTCATGCTCTTGTCATGAATGTGGGAAAGTAAGTTCTATTTGGTTGTGTTTAAGTATAAACAACAATCTGCATGCTGAAAAGCGAAACTACATTTAACAGTTTTAGCAAATTCGTAAACGGCACGAAAAGAGGAAGTATAAGACGCAAGAAACTTTGATTTTTTTTCTGACTATCACGTCTTGTTTCTTTTGGGTATTTGCAGGGTGTACGAATAGTGTGGGTATATCATATAACTTGGCTAGTGAACTCAGCTTGTCATGTATGGGGAAAACAAGCATGGAACACAGGGGATTTGTCTAAGAACAACTGGTAGAACTCATAATTGAGAAATAATTTTTATTATATATGGAATTGTACTTAGAAGAAACTCTGAATTTTATAATTGTTCAGGTGGGTAGCAGCTCTTGCATTCGGAGAAGGATGGCACAACAATCACCATGCTTTCGAGTTCTCAGCTCGGCACGGCCTAGAATGGTGGCAACTAGATATGACTTGGTACGTCGTTAGATTTCTCCAAGCCATCGGTTTAGCAACCGATGTTAAGCTGCCATCAGAAGCTCAGAAGCAACGAATGGCACTGACCAGCGACTGATCTTAAAACTATGTCCGCTATTATGTCCGGAATCAAAAACTGTCGGTACGATTTGAAGCTATGGAAGATTCAAAAAGGGTTTTGTACTTTTTTTAGTTTTCTTGTTTGTTTTGGTTTTACATAAAGGTATATATATCTCTGCTCAAGAGATTTGTATGTGACAAGCTGATTATGAAATTTTAAATATCTATAATTACATTCAATACAAAAGAATCAAAAAAGTAAAAGAATCACGTTCTGTGTGGCCAAGGTGTCCATGGCAATTCTAGATACTCAACAGGTTTGAGTTTTGGAAATACGGTTTGGAAATCCCATTCGAGGCCTTTAAACATTATCCCTTTCGGTGTCGCTTCGTGTGCACATGACGATTTAGGGCACATCTCGGCGTCAAGATACGTGTTTTCGATCACGAGTGTGGCTGTTCCTAAGACGGACCGGATGTGGCAGATGTGAATCGCCGGTATCTTGCTTTCGCCTTTTATGAGAATGATTGGGAATGAAAATTGGATTCCTGGTGTTGCAGATCGACGCCAACCGTAGTCTTTGCGTTTAGACTCGCATCGATAGACGATATCCGAGCGAATGAGTCCTGTCATTGCGTTACGTATCGTTATGTTCATGTTTACGTAGTCGGGTTCCTTGAGAGCCACGGTCTTGGAAGAGACCATGATGACTTGTAGAAGAAGACACCATCGAGCTAGGGTTTTGACAATGTTGTTGCTAAGGTCCATTCTTCTCTTTGTTGTTTTCTTTAGTTCTCGATCGTTCGTGATTGTCTCACCTTCGTTAATATGTTTAAATATTATGGTTTACTTGAAACCGAAGCTGTTATCAAACAAACAAACGTTTCTTTTTTTTTGTTTAGTCACAAACAAACAGTTTACAGTTGCTAAAAATTGAAGATTTATTAACAAAATTGACAATGCTTGAGCTGTCTCATAGATTAGTTGTTTGTAGTTTGATTTTGGGCTCTTGGTTTTTGGTTTTTGGGTCTTGATTTTTTGGCTTTTGATGTAGATTTTAGTTACCCACAAAACTTTGTATGGCGTTTAGTTAGTTTTTGGTTTTTAGCTATATATGATTTTTTTAATTAAAACTTGTACTTATAAACAACCTCATCACAAAAAATCATTTAACTTATAAGAAATAAAAACTCACAATATATTTTTAAAATAGTACAAATTACTTAAAAAATATATAATATAGGTATAGTACATGATATAGTACATGGTGCATAATCTCTGTTTATGAGCTACCGACACCATACGATTTATGTTATATATAAAAATGAAATGTTGTATATGCATGCATGGCCAACGTTGGAGGGAATACAACCACGTCATATAGGCATGTACTAGATCTATATGTGGTTTAGTATCAATCTCGTGGTGCTTTTTTTGTTTTTGTTTTAGATATATTCTATATATTTTTTTGTGTGTTAGTTTTGAACGAATATTTTGAGAAGAAAAGGGAATCTTTCAGCTTATCATGTGATAGTAATTAAAAAATTAAAACTAAGAAGAAAGACGTAAAGATCTAAACAAAACCCGTTAGAGTTTGTGGTCTATGTGTCTAAGAAAACGATGTTATCAAACACAGAACCATTAAACTGATGTGGAAGATATTTGTTTTCTATTCGGTTTTATTGCAAGTCGCATGTATTCATAGGGAACATGTTAGAAATATGGCTATTTCTTGGGGGAGAGTTTTCAATAAACACAACTCTAAGATTGTGAGTGGATATTACACATTTGATTACTCGCTCTCACTCCTCCATTATTTGCGTACTATGGTACTTCTTAACCAGTTTGTGAAGTTGTGTTCACTTGTAGTTGTACTTGTACCTTTTTGTTCATTAAATGCCTAAACTAATAACTCAACAACCTAAAAACTCACTTGTACTACGTTCCGTGAGTGAAATGTGTCCTCATAGTCATAGGATATATAATCACACCCACTCTTTAATAATCTATTATATAATAAAATTGTTGGTTTTTCTCTTCACATTTGTTTCTTACAGAAATTAAAATATATTCAAATGGTAGAAAAAGAAACACGGATAACTTTCTAGTCATGTGTATATATATATATAGTGTATAACTCTCATCAACTTGAACAAACAACCTATACTGCTATACCCATGGCCTCTCTATGTACTTTCAAACCGCTTTCTCCAGCTTCTCAATTTGTGAAACAACGTAACCCTAGAAATCAAAATGCCTTGTTCACTTACCACACACCCAACTCTACAAACTCCCTTTTGCCTAAACGAGGAAGATCCGTGGCTCACAAGAAACACATGTTCGTGACTGCTCATGATGCGCCGGATCCGGTCGAGAGCTCCTGGAGAATTCCCTTGTCGGATGTTGTGGCGGTGAGAAAGAAGAGGGAATTTTGGGAAAGGAGTTGGAATTCTAAGGACGTGAGAAAGTTAGTCGTAGTCGTTGGGGTTCATTTGCTGACCTTCTCGGCTCCATTTTACTTCAATTGGGTGGCTTTTCGGCTTTTCATTTGGCTCCATGTGACCAGTGGAATGTGCATCACATTGTCCTATCATAGGAATCTTGCTCACCGAAGTTTCGATCTACCGAAATGGCTCGAATATCTCTTTGCTTATGGTGGCGTTCTGGCTCTTCAGGTTTGAGTTTTATTATATATATATTATTTGATATGAACATTATAATATATCTTCATTTAGCCGTAATTTGTATATTGTGTGTGTGTGCAGGGAGACCCAATAGACTGGGTGAGCAACCATCGGTACCATCATAAGCATTGTGAGACAGAACGTGACCCACACAGCCCTACGCAAGGGTTTTGGTTTAGTCACATGACTTGGATATTTGATACCGGTTCTATCCTCAAAAAGGTATTGAAAATTAACAATTATGTTTTTTTTTTCTATTAAAAAACCCAATTAGGTTCTTGATTTTAATAAATGGGGGCTCATCCAAATGTTTCATCACAACGATTGTCCTCAAACCCGGCCATATACATTTGGTCTTGATTTTAAAGTACAGATCAGGGCCAAACCGATTTATAACCTGGTCTAATGAATCCTAACCATGACTAAACCATTGGATGCATGCATGCATGCAGTGTGGTGGAGAGGAGAACGTAAACGACCTTGTGAGGCAGCCCTTCTATAGGTTCCTTCAGCGAACCTTCCTTCTGCATGTGATGGCTTTTGCTCTCCTCCTCTATTTTTGCGGTGGCATGCCCTTTCTCGTATGGGGATTTGTAAGAATACATACCATTCTTTTTCTTAATTTCACTTACAATACTATGCTTGGGATTTTTGAGATAGAAATATCCTATGTAATATTGATATAATAATTTGACTAGTACTAGTAGTGTCATGCAGTCATACTCATTTAGACACATGAGATCCTGAGACCGTCCTAACAGGATGGGACAAGCCAGTCTGCCGACCACAATACGATATTACAAATAAAAACCCCATGAGAAAATTGTATCCTTTATAAAAAAAAAAAATATACATATATATATATTAAGGAAGAAATTAAATTATGAGAGGATTGACAATGGCAGGGTGTGGCAACTGTGGTTCGATTCCATGGGACTTTTCTGGTGAACTCAGTATGCCATATATGGGGAAAACGAGCTTGGAACACACCTGACTTGTCCAAAAACAATTGGTACTAATACTACTACTACTGATCTATTCATATACTAATATGGTAATAATCTGACTAAGTAATACTAATAATTAATAAAACTGGTGATGAATCAGGTGGGCAGCGATTATAACACTTGGCGAAGGATGGCATAACAATCATCATGCGTTTGAGTTTTCGGCCAGGCATGGACTCGAGTGGTGGCAGCTCGACGTGACTTGGTATCTCATTAGGTTTCTTGAAGCTATTGGTTTGGCCACTAACGTTCAGTTACCTACTGAAGCTCAAAAGAAGAGAATGGCTTTGGTTTGATCCTTATAATTCTTTTCATAAATTGGATTCCTGGTTTTGCAGATCGATGCCAACCATAGTCTTTGCGTTTAGACTCGTATCGATAGACGATATCTGAGCGAATTAGTCCTGTCATTCCGTTACGGATTGTTATGTTCGTGTTTAGGTTCCTTGAGAGCCACGGTCTTGGAAGAGATCATGATGACTTGTAGAAGAAGACACCATCGAGCTAGGGTTTTGACAATGTTGTTGCTAAGGTCCATTCTTCTCTTTGTTGTTTTCTTTAGTTCTCGATCGTTCGTGATTGTCCCACCTTCGTTAATATGTTTAAATTTCATGTTTTACTTGAAACCGAAGCTGTTATCAAACAAACAAGCGTTTTTTTTTGTTTAATCACAAACAAACTGTTTACAGTTGCTAAAAATTGAAGCTTTATTAACAGAATTGACAATGCTTCAGCTGTCTCATAGATTAGCTGTTTGTAGTTTGATATTGGGCTCTTGGTTTTTGGGTCTTGATTTTTCGGCTTTTGGTGTAGGTTTAGTTACCCACAAAACTTTGTATGTCGTTTTAGTTAGTTTTTGGTTTTAGCTATATATAATTTTTTTTTATTAAAACTTGTACTTGTAAACAACCTCATCATAGATATATACAGATAACAGAATACAACAAAAAAATCATTTGATAAGAAATAAAAAAATCATAATATATTTTTAAAATAGTACAAATTACTTTTAAATATATAATATAGATATAGTACATGGTATATATAATACATGGTGCATAATCTCTGTTTATGAGCTACCGACACCCAGCCCCGGCTCTGAGGCATGGCGGCAGGGGCAATGGTCCTGGATCCAAAAATTTAAAAGCCCAATTTTTTTTTTTTTTATATTGAAAACTTTGTTATAATGTGTTCATTAACATATTAAGGAAAAATAGAACTAATTTCTAGTACATAATAAGACCCACGATCTATTTAATAAAAAAAAGAGATTATGATCTAAAAAAAATTATACCTAAAATTTAAGGGCCCATTTTTTTTTTATATTATAAAATTTGTTAAAAATATATTCTTGAAGACAGTTATGGATATATAATTAATTTTTAGTACATAAAAAGGCTCATAATTTATTCAATTATTAATAAGACGTCATAACCTACTTATACAAAAAGGATTATACCTTAACTGTTTCCTTTGTTAACAAGACAACAATCATCTCAATTATTTAAAATTACAAAGAATTTCAAGATCAGATCAATGTTTCAACAAATGTTGAATGGTCTTGTACTTTTTTGCATTGAAAAGAAAGTTTTAAAAACTATAAAATTTGACACAATTATCAATAATTTTGCATCAATAAAGTTAGGACAAAAATATATATGATTTATTTATTTTTTTAAAAAGAATTAATATTCTTTTGTATTTTTTTATGTTCGATGAATTTTTTTATGCAATTTACAGAACTGATGCACTTGAATAAAATATAATGTCAAAAAATATTATACAAACTAGTTATGTATTTTTTTAACAAACTAGCAACTTATTTTATATTTTATAAAGTCAAAAAATTATAATTTGATTTATTATGATTAATACAATTACTTTTTATTAATATAATATAAAAAGTTCATATTTTGTATTTTGTCCAAGGCTTTTGAAATTGCTAAGACGGGGCTGCCGACACCATACGACTTATGTTATATATAAAAAATGAAATGTTATATATGCATGCATGGCCAACGTTGGAGGGAATACAACCATATCATGTAGGCATTTACTAGATCTATATGTGGTTTAGTATCAATCTCGTGGTGCTTTTTTTTTGTTTCAAAAATATTCTATATTTTTTTTTATTGTGTGTTAGTTTTGAACGAATATTTTGAGAAGAAAAGGGTATCTTTCAGCTTATCATGTGATAGTAATTTAAAAATTAAAACTAAGAAGAATGACGTAAAGATCTAAACAAAACCCGTTAGAGTTTGTGGTCTGTGTCTAAGAAAACGTTGTTATCAAACACAGACCATTAAACTGATGTGGAAGATATTTGTTTTCTATTCGATTTTATTGCAAGTCGCATGTTTTCATTGGGAACTTGTTTAAAATATGGCTATTTTTTGGGGGAGAGTTTTCAATAAACACAACTCTAAGACTGGGAGTGGATATTACACATTCGATGTATTGGGCTTTTGCTCTTAAAACAACTATAGCCTTATGGACTTGTAACTTTTTCATTTCTTGCATTAAATATGAAAACCTCAAAAAAAAAAAAAAATATATTACACATTCGGTTACTCGCTATAACTCCTCTATTATTTGCGTACTATGGTACTTCTTAACCAAAAAGCAAAGAGTGATGAGATATGTAAAAAGAAACAAGATATCATTTCATACCGCAACAGAAAGTCAAGTCGATATTGTATCAACAACACAAGAAAGTATATAAGAACAGCTCTTCTTATTGATTTAAAAATTTCTCAAAACTAAATCTTTTCTTGAATCTTATAGAACATCTCTCCATAAACCCTTATTTATAGACCTAAGCTACTCCTTAGTCTATTAGAAAATACAAATCTCATCTTTTCCTTATTTGATATTTCCTATTCTAAATCTCCTTAAGTTACTCCTTAAGAGATAACTTCTAACTTAAGTTATTGGAATTATCCAACAGAAAGTACCAGCTCTCTCTCCTCATAAGAATCAACAAGGTTCCTGTAATTTGTTTATTTAGGCAGTAAGAAACACGTACTAGCTAGTAAACTGGAGGGATGGCGATAGCATCATAGCAACACTTGAGGAAAGCAGAGAGCAACACTTGCACAACTACCATCATGCACGAGACATGGCTGGTCGGATGATAGCAACAAAACATTACTTGGTATCGGGGTCGTACGCCTTCCAATCTAATTTTTTGTTTGTTTGTACAAAAATTAATCACGATATGTACGAAAATATTTAATACGTTTTTTTTATATTGATTAAACTAATACTACATTATTATATTCAACTAGATTCTATATTGACATTTTTTATTACGTCAGTGACAAAAAAAAAACACGGGGTAACTTTCGAGTCATGTATATATATAGTAACACAATGGGTGTAAATTGTAAAGGCATCAACTGTAAGAACCTTAACCCATGGCATCTCTATCTTCAACTCCCAAACCGCTTTCTCCTTTTTCGCCATTTCGTAAACAACCCAACCTCGATGGTAATAATGATGCATTGTCCACTTATCGCACACCCAACTCTACAAACCCCCTTTTGTCCAAACGAGGAGGATCCGTGGCTATCAAGAAACACACGTTCGTGGCTGTTGACGATGCACCGGATCAGGTCGAGAGCTCCCGGAGAATACCCTTTACCGAGGCTGTGGCTGTGAGAGAGAAGAGGGCGTTTTGGGAAAGGAGTTGGACTCATTGGGACGTGGGCAAGCTAGCCATAATCGGTGGGGTTCATTTGCTGAGCCTCTCGGCTCCATTTCACTTCAATTGGACGGCTTTTCGGCTTTTCCTATGGCTCTATGTGATCCATGGAATCTGCATCACCTTGTCTTATCACAGGAATCTTTCTCACCGAAGTTTCGATCTACCGAAATGGCTCGAGTATCTCTTAGCTTATGGTGGCGTTCTGGCTATTCAGGTTAGACTTTTATATATACTCCGACGATGATTCTTTTGATATGTACACTATAACATATCTGTAGTCGTAACTTGTGAATCGTGGGTGCAGGGAGACCCAATAGAGTGGGTGAGCAACCATCGTTACCATCACAAGCACTGTGAGACACAACGTGACCCACACAGCCCTACACAAGGGTTTTGGTTTAGTCACATGACTTGGTTATTTGATACCGGCTCTATCCTCAAAAAGGTATACAAAAAACCATCAGTAGTTATACAAAAAAATCTTTCCTCAGAGATTGTGGGAGAAGGATGATTTTAAAATATGTTGCTGTGGACAAATCTGGTCCGGAAATCTGGCTCTGCCAGGCCTTGTAGACTAGACTGATCTATATATATATACTTGGTCTTAATTTAGAAAGTACGATGAGGGAATTATAATCCGGTCTATAGCCCTAATAGGAATGGTATTAAATGGATGAAACGGACCTAACCCTAACTAAACCATTGCATGCACGCAGTGTGGTGGAGAGGAGAACGTAAATGACCTCGTGAAGCAGCCCTTCTATAGGTTCCTGCAGCGAACCGCAGTTCTGCATATGATGGCTTTAGCCCTTCTCCTCTATATTTGTGGAGGCATGCCCTTTCTCGTATGGGGATTTGTAAGAACACATACTCATTTTCTTACTATCACTTGTACTACTACTATTCTTTGGGATTTTGATATATTATAAATGCAGTGATATAATAATTTGACACCTGAGAGTGTGAGTCTGAGATAGTCGTAACAGAATGGGAAAATAAATATAATTAAAGGAATAAATTAAATTTTGAGAGAAATGGCGATATATGGCAGGGTGTGGCAAGTGTGGCTCGACTCCAAGGGGCTTTTCTGGTGAACTCAGTTTGCCATTTATGGGGAACACGAGCTTGGAACACACCTGACTTGTCCAAAAACAATTGGTACTACTGTCGATGTCGATACATATATATATATATACGTAATGATCACACACTACAAAATGATGAATCAGGTGGGCAGCGATTATAACACTTGGCGAAGGATGGCATAACAATCATCATGCGTTCGAGTTTTCGGCCAGGCATGGACTCGAGTGGTGGCAGCTCGACGTGACTTGGTATCTCATTAGGTTTCTTGAAGCTATGGGTTTGGCCAGTAATGTTAAGTTACCTACTGAAGCTCACAAGAAAAAAATGGCTTGTAATTAGTTTTATTATCGATCTTCCATCCTATTCGTAACATCTACGTAAGTTATAAGTGTATTTTTCTTTAAATAAAAGTTACAAGTGTGTGTGGAAGCTCCTTTAACCCAATGATTTAATAAGAGTTTATTAATGCTTCTACACTATGAAGTTTGGGTTTCAAATCTCAGCAAACACGATTTATTCTTAATTATGTAAATTAATGAAGATAGAGCTGTTAGTCGTGGAACTTCATAAGACGATATAATTGACTTTGTAGAATCATCAATGTAACAGTTCTCATAATTTGCAATAGATTAATATAATTTGCAATAGATTAATAAATCAGTGTTAAAAAAAAAATTGTATTCAACGGGAGCGAGAACCCTTACTTATTGGCAAGATTGGTTATTTTCGGTTATGCAAGCACACAATCACTATTTAAATGTGGGTGTTGTCTCAATACAGAACACAAGTTTCAGATCTTGCTCTATTTTTAGTACAAGTTGTCTTGTCCAATTACTCACAAACAAAGCCTTTCTTATTACAAACTAATATCGTTTTCCATTTTTAATTTTTCTTTTGCATACAAACTATGAAGCCATAGCTTCGAAAATGGCTTTGGTCTAATCCTTAATTCCTTTTAAGTTAGAATTCTAATAATTCCTCCAAGAACTAAGACTTTCTTAACATTATCAGCATTCCTTGAAATCTAGTTAAACATGCTGTTGGGAGGGGAAACACTATGATGATAAGAATAATCTCAAGAGAAGCATTTTAACAATATAAAACACTAGAATTAATAATGGAAGACACTACCGCTTCACCTTTCACCTACTATGAATGAGTAAAGTAAATATATAACCTACAATCGCTGCAGAGCTCTCCTCTCAAAGTGTATAATAATAACTTGGGAGGCTGCATCATGGTGCGGAGCTTGGTGGTGTATCAGACCTCACCTCACCTTACCGCGCTTGATCTGATCCAGGTGCTGACGAGACGCTTGGCCCTGCACCGTTTTCTGGCGGTGGAGACATTCCCCACTTCCCTTCTGGTCCTGGTGGTTCGATCACGTGAACCCCACCATCGGTAAGTCCAACTGCAAATTGGTTTGGTTCAGAGGGATGGGCTGCGATGGTGGCTGGATATACTCTCGAGCTGTTCAACAGAGGGTATATGTTAGTGGTGTTGTGTCTGGCCAATGCTCGTAACTCTCATAAAAGTTAAAATTACAGGGATAGGATTCTTCACCTCGGGTTTGAAGGCAAATACGAACTGGGACCAATGCGGCACTTGAGTTGCAATGTCGTTGCCGTCAAGATACTTACACTTCCATCATCAAAGGCTGCGTAGATTGACTGGCTATCACATGAGTATACAGCATCTGTCACTGAACCACTTGACTCCTTTGGTATCCACTGAAAGTAAAAGAGAAAGAAACAGATCAAGTCTTGAAGGACATTGAGCAATGCAAAAAGCTCTATAGAGACATGGATGCAACAAACCTGCTTCATGCTCTCTAATTTAGGAGCCTCGTATATGGCTAACTGGCTGGCATGGACAACAAGAACATGTGTCTGGTCTTGATGGAACTGGACGCGTGTGTGAGCAAGTGGGTTTGGCGAATGCCCACTAGGAATTTGTATCTGTTTGCTAGCTTGCTTTTCCCATCCATCCATGCTCCATACACAAAGCTATACAGATAAAACCCGTTACTTTGGAAAATTAGATAAGTCCCAAGATGGAAGCAGTGGCAAGATCTCTATCTGAACATAATTGGAGCAGAAAATTTAATACAGCCAACGTAGAATATAAGCATACCTGGGAATCAGCACCAGACGAAACAAGCACATTTAGAACGTTTGAGAATGCTAAACCAGTCACTCTCTTCTGATGACCTTTCAATTTACTTTTAACCTACAAGAATCATTACCAGCCAAAAGTTGGTTTGGAATATTTGTATCTACGACAAACAAAAAAAAGGCTTAACGCTTTCAGTTGAGTCAGAATACCTCATCCACTCTGACATTGTAGATTTGAATAGACGAGTCATCCATGCCAATAGCAATAATGTTATTGTCTTGAGGATGGAAGGCGAGGGAAGTCGCTGCTGGAGGAGGAGCCATGAAAGTCGTCATCGTCTGCAAAATAAACAAAGAAATACGAATGAGTAAATGGGAAGCTTGTAGCGCAACAGATGAATACACATAACTCAGAAATGGAGGGACCTTAAAAGTCATCATGTTGAACAAGGAAATTTTTCCTCCCGAGGCTGACATGACATAAGAGTCATTCTTTGAGAGCGCAAAGCATGGAACTACATCTTCTTTGTTTCCCTCGCGCGTGTCATTTGTCATTATTACTCCACTAGATGGCTGCCAAAGCTGTGGTGGGACACTGCTGTTTGCCTTTTAAACGAAAAAAACCATATAAGAAGGTACAGTTATGAGTTTCCAAATCACCACTAAATGTCGTATCACAACAGATAACCTACCTTTCCCAAATGATTCCGTTCGCTCTTTTGCCATTTCCATAGTTTATGTAGAGCATTTTCTGCTAATGCCAATATAGCACCTCCAGAATTTGTATATATTAGCTTAACAACCTGCGTCGAGAAACAAGATGACATCATAACAAAGATAAGAAGAGAGGGCTGAGTGCATAAAAAGGACTCCACAATTAACTTTTATGCAAAGGAAATCATAATAGATATCCAAAAGAATCAAAGATGCTAGATCAGTTGAACTACCAGTAATGAAAAATTTCTACTTAATCATAGAATTATGCAAATAAATAAAAAAAGCTCTTGTGGGTGGAAAGGAATTGCCCTACAATTCTTGTTAAGAAAGGACTTGCAACTCATTATATTATAGTTTGAAAAGTAATGGCAAAGTGTTTGAGATAGATTGGATACATACTCTTACTGGTAGCAGGGTGTCAGGAAGCCGCAGAGTGCGAAGCTGGGAATGTTCGCTGATCTCTGTCAGCTTCCAAATCTTTGATTTCTCTGCCTCGTCAGGGATTCGTGGTTTGATATCTGGCAGACTGCGATTATCTCCATTCTAAAACCAAACGATTGTAAAAATAAACTTAGCATGAATTCAGGAAAGTACCAATATTTGTCTTCGTGGCGTTTGCATGAACTAGTAACAATTACACTTTGATCTCTGCCAACTATGGTCAACTATTGAGTTAATATGTACATATCTAACAGAACAAGATATCCTTAAAACAGTTCACAGGTGGGATTACCATGCCAGTAACAGATACCCCTGGTCCACTTCTTTCAGCCATTGATAGACTCATTCCAGTGCTTGAACTTGGAGTGCCAAATGTGCTAACAATAGGACCCTATGAACAAAATGTTGCATTCAATTTTGTTTTCGACAATAGCACCCAGATATAGCAGAATAAATAAGATATGATGACAGGCTTTCTACCTTTGCAACTGACCCATGAGGAGCTCTAGAGCTTTCAAGGCCACGGTTTGCCATGGAGAGCAAAATCCTGGAACCTTCAGCATTAGATAATATCTTAATTCCATTCTCAGTAGTTGAGACAGCCAGTAGAGTTCCTTCTTTATTGATCCTTAAGCACGGGGAAGACTGATGATATTAAGTCAGCAACCATTTCTTTTAAAGGTCAATTAGACGAATAGCAACTGAGATCAAAATAGATCATTACCGGCAATCCCCCGTCTGCATTCGTTGTAGTCAAGAGATCAACACTATCCATATCCCAAAATTTGACATGGAACTCATCACCAGCTACCAAAAATTTATTCTTCATGGTATCGAATTGAACAACCCCCACAGACCGTTTCCCCAGTCCAAGGTAAGTCCGCTTCACAGCTCCCTCACTTTCATTCCATTCAACAATGAATGATTCCCCCTCCTTACTAGTACCACAAGAGAATAATCTACAACAAACGAGAAGATAAAAACAGACATGAGCAAAAGGGGTGGATAAGTACAGCATAACAACAATAGCGGGGGAATCATTTTACCTAGTCCCGTCAGCACAATATGCCATTGCCGTGCAAGATCGACCGGGGGCATCATAATCCACTCTAGAACCCATGTTGTCATATAACCAAGCCTTTATTTTCCCATCAACAGCAGTTGAGAATATGAACTGACATAAAGAAAAAATCTCCATCATAACAATCTCAAGGGCCACAGAGAGTAAATGCGAAGCTTGCACAAAGACTAAAATGGAGAGCAAGAAACACACAAGAAAGTGAGTTTCAAGCTAAAACATTGAAAATGGAATGTACTGCAGATGCTTCTATTAGTATAGGTAAATGTATTTGCATTTCTGTAAATTATATAAGCTTGGCATAAGATGGACATAAAGGAGATTAAGAGTCCTAGCTGAGCAGAGAAATCCAAATAGACACTAGGCAAAAGGATAATTTAATCTTATGAAATTCCCCAGGATATAGAGCGAGAGGACATTTTAAGCATATTACACTACCTGAATATTCTCTTTCTGGTGTGGGCACACGGAATAAACAGGTGCTTCATGGCCTTCAAATGTGTGCAATTTATTTCCAGTAACAGCATCCCAGACCTGTACAGAAACTATTTATATAAGCAGGATGGTCTCATTATCCAACCCTGAAAACATATGCCAAGATTCAAACCTTGATTGTCTTGTCTTCTCCACAAGTCACAACACACAATTGCTGGTTTGGTTGGGAGAAAGCAAGATCGTTGACATTACCAGCATGAGCATCAATCTATAACAATAAACAAAAAATAAACATCAAAGATCTTAGTATGCTGCTCAGTGATAAAAACAAACAGGGACCCAAAGACAGTTTTATTAGAACTCTACAGACAAAAACCAGGGAGCTATACATTCTTCCAGTGAACAAAATCTATGCCTATGTAATCCACATATACAACAACAATAATATCACAAAGAAAATAAAACATAGTAGGAATGGTAACCGACTAGGAAAAGATACAGGAGTTGGTGCAAACTCATGTTTAATATAAAGTCATGAGTAAGAGATAAACCTCTAGATGATTCCGTAAATCATCGCCACCATGATACGAATAGATGTGCACAATATGCTTGGAATATGCGACACCTGAAATGGGAAGTAGACATTACGATCGATTTACCATAAAATTTATACGACAATCAGCCCTATACCCATGAGGGGCACAAATAACTGAATCAATAATACGACCACAAGATCACAGAATGGCTTACCCAGAAGACCTCCATCAGGACTCCAAACAACTCGATTTACCGCTGCAGTATACTCGCTAGCAAGTGAAGCCTAACGCACAAGAATGAGACCAAACAAGAGGTCAGCAAAAGGAAACAATGTTCGTGATATAATATACGGTCATAGTGAAAGCTTTTACGAGTTATTTCAGATAACTAGCTATTAGCCTTGATCTGAATCCTTACTAGGAAGAGAAAAAAATCCTCTGTACTTTTGTCTAACTTGCAACAAATTTCCCACTCGATATGTCTTTAAACTGTAAAGTAGATCAATAAAAACGTGATCCATACCTGAAGATTCACAGTGCAAGAAGAAAGATCCCAAACTTTAAAGCTTCTAGAAACAAGCTTATCCTTGCTACCCACCTCCCATATTGCAATATCACCAAGATTGGTGCCAACTATGAAACCAATGCAAATACAACATTAATAGCAAGATAAAATCAGCATATTGTACTGAGAAGATTAAAATACATGCTGCCAGATACAAGTTTTGCAGGCAACTATGGTATAAGCCAGCAGACACCATAAGGCTGATGGCTTCGGTAGAGAAAACTAACCAAGAAGCATAGTTTGTTGTACTGGGTGAAAATCCATGCTCTTAATGGCAGAACCCTGACTCAAAACCCTGCTAACATTTTTGGGTAAGTCATCAGTAGAATAATTTGCATGAGCGTGGCTTTGCCCTGGATATGTGACTGGCAAGACATTGACTGGAAGATTATTAATCTGCAAAATGTTCAAACGAAAATGTGAACTTCTAAGATATTACGGATGAGAACTTAAGCTGAAAAGCGGATAAGCAGCCGTTAATACCCCGTCTGATATACCAAAAGGTCTGGGTCTCTTCAATACACTTTCAGAATCTGCTGTCTGATAATCCATTGCTAGGCTATTGGTTGGAGGAGTCCTGGGACGCTTTAGCATAGACACTGTAAGGAGGAAATGATGAATACAGATTATGATGAGGTATCAGATTGGCAAACAGAATCATACACAGAGATGTCCACGTTACAAACTACATAAAACGGCAATAAATAATAAATTTCAGACAAAAGATAACATTCATTATATGACATTAACTTAGAAATTTTGCTTCTCTGTCTATTATCCACAGACAAGAGTAAAAGGCACATATGAACGCATGTTTCTCTATCTATTATCCACCACTACAACTCTGGACAACGTCAACGTGACTTGGCAAATATATCATATCACTTTTCATGCAGTTCAATAAGCACAGATAACCGCTCAACAAATGGTTATATCAACAAAGGATGTCACAGGTAAAATAGATCTCCGACACAGATAAATCAAAAACCAAAATAAGTCATGACAACATTACCAGCACTGTTGGGGGCACCTAGGCCGATAGGCCCAGCAGAAACAGTTGGGTGTGATACAGATGGATTAGGCATCCATCCTGCAAGAGACGTTGTAAGAGGAGCTGGTGTTGGCTGAAAGGGCTGAACCAAGAGATAAACATATAAACAACGAAGTTAAATTCTGTACCAAAAACTAATCCAACACAAGCATGCAGCTTTATCTTAGAGCAACTTACACCGTGAGCACCTAACGGTGGGAAGCCTCCAACTTTAGGGACTGGACCCATTAAATGATTAGTTGCAGGGGAAGAAACATGTGCACCATTTGGATGCCCACAACTATGGTCAACAAAGAGTGTTTTTATATCAGGGTTAGGCCTTGGATTCTTGCAAAGCTGATGCTGCCAGTTCAAACTACAATGTAGCAGAAGCACATTCAGTTAGTTGCCCCACCAATAGAAAAAACGGGTCAGAGACAATAAAAATCAAAGCTTGTACCACAGGATAAACGCACCTTTGATTTATCAAGGTTCTCAATCTTGAGTTCTTCAAAGTGGGAAACTGAAGTTTGTCTCGGAAGAGAGGATTTGCCTCAATCAGTTTTTTTAATTCCCCAAGCATAATACCTCTTGCAGACTTCGTGTCTCCATACTTGGAAAGCTGCTCATTTTCCCTTAAGCATTACAAAGTAAATGGATTATTAGTAATACATCAACATCACAAGCATTCCAGTGGTCAACGAAAGCATTTATCAACTCCATTGAAATCTCTCTCTCCCATACTTCATTTCAGACAAAGAAAGAAACACAAGGGTTAAGAAACTAAAGACTCTACCTGAAGTTTGTTAAGGTTAGAAGCATTGTAATCTCCTTAAAAAGCTCTTCGTTGAATGTCGAGAACACTTTTAGCTCCTTCACAAGAATTTCAACTGCCTTGGCATGATCTTTCCTACAAAAGGACGAAACAAATGGGATAAATATATATAAATCCTGGAACAACACAGTTTGAACTTTGGCATCAACATAGATAACAAATAAACCTACTTGTCGAGTGCTTCAAGGTACTTCTGCTTACGAATCTCGAAAAATATCTTCATTGAGTATCTATTATCATCTACTTTAGTGAATCCAGAGAGGTACTTCTCTACATCGTCCCATTCACCAGCTGTTACGCTGTCTTCAAAGTACCTCATGTTGAAGAAAAACCCAGACTCCTTCTCAAGCCTAGAACAGAAACCACACAAGCCTCAGCGAAAGGGACATAATCAACAACCAAAAGAGAAAGTAAACATAAAAACATTCAAACCGAAAAAGTTCAAAGCTTTAACTGCTTCTGGGTTATTTTTCCTAGAAACCATCTTTTCAGAGAAAAATATCAACTTGATTTCACCACATTGAACTAATAAGAAATGTAAATTCTCTAAAAGGCTACTAACTCTACACTAATCCCGAAAACCGCGGGACTCGCAATAACCAATTAAAACAATTGAAAAATTCTCACGGAAAAATGGAGAGAGAAAATTGGATTTAACCTGTGTACAGTCTCTTTGAATTTCTCTTCGTCGAGAAACTGGAGTATCAGGAAGACGAGTTCTCTGCTGAGCGACGACATATCCTCTCTCCAAAAGCAACAGATCGATTACAATACCACTCATGAACCACTATTCAACACAAACCATCCACGAGAATTAGGGTTTTGTACATCCTCTTCCCCGAAAAAGACCATAAAGGAAAAAAAAAAATGAATTGAAAGCAGACGAAAACAGATCTAAACGAGAATCAAACACACGAAATCGATCGAATTCAAAGGTGAATCCCCAGGTGGCGAGATGTGCACGTGCGAGAATATACTGGGAGGCTCCCGAGGGAAAAAAAAATGTATAAGAAAGTTTTTATACCTGTTGAATTGACTTTGAAGAAGGAGAGAGACGAAACAGAGAGAAAAGAGAAGAGAGACTTTGAGAGAGCAGAGAGAGAGAGAGAGAGAGAGAGACGTGGGCTATTTATGCCGATAATTTCTGATGCTGTCTCGTTTTCGGAGTTTCTTTTTCTTTTTGGATTTATTGCTTTTTATATATTTGATTTTCCTTTTTTTTTGTGTGGTCGTTGGGCGTTCTATGTTTTTTTTTTTTGTTTACTCTACTTTATTAGAAGCGTGTGTATTTTGTAGATATGAGTTTAAGTAAAAAAAAAAAACTAACTAAAAAGGAAATATTAATATACGTCGCACCCCACCATAATAATATGCTCGTTTATTTTAAAAAAGAGTTTTCATGACGTATTAAGTGTGTATGTATTTATGTTGTTGCGAATCTAGTACATCATCACTGCTGTCTAATTAAATGCTCTCTCTCTTTAAGTTTTGACGTAAAGCTCGTTTTTTTTTTCTTTTCAAACGAAGCATTAAACAAAAGTATCTTATAATTGGCTTATCATTTACGACATGACCATCGGTAATATAATTACAAATAAAATTCAAATTTCCTGACTGCTACTCTTGTCATACTTCAAAAACTATTAGATATGTATAAAATAAGAGAGATATAGAACTAAAAGGATAATATGGAATGAGATTTTGATAAGAAAATAAAAATAAAATAACAATGATAATATGGATGGAATGAATTTGAATCAGATGTGAAGTTAATTTCTTAAAAATTCTAACAAAATAAATTTCCTTCCCTTTTTAAATATATACTACGTATTATTTTTAAAAACGTTAAAATTTTTTTTGGATTAGGTAAATTAATTTTAGAAAGTATACTTTTAAAAAAAAATTGGAAAGTATAAATGATGATAACAAATAAACGAATATTATATTTTGATGCTCTTTAGCATTTCACCAACAATTTTTACCAAACTCTAGATTTTGCCTTGCCCATGATTTGTCATGTGTTTAAAGGAGGAGGAGGGAATTAAGAATCATTGTGTGCTGTTGAAAGAAGACTGAAGATGGGGTTGGAGTCTGGAAGCTTCGTCTAAGAATGTATATGAAGAAATGTTAGGAGGTCCAAATTAAGAAAGTATAACAAAAATCTAACCTAAAAAAATTTATTTATCTTATGCTTTCTTAATTTATTTCGACGAGTTAAAAAAAAAAAATATGTAAAAAAGTTATAAAAAAAAGATATGTAAATTTTTTTCAAAAAAAAACAAATATGTAAAAGAGTAAAAGTATATACAACTCAACAATCACACATAGTTACAAAATTACATTTTAGAATTAACAAAATACATGATTTATTCACTAGTTTTAGTTATTTATGAAAATTTACTTGAAAAACAAATATTTTATAGTTTGTAGTTTTCCACAAATATGTTGGCAAATTAATTTCATGCTATTTTAGTAGTGCTTCTCGTAGGACGAGCCACAAATGTGCTTATTTGTTTTCAACAAATTTCAAAAAAAAATAGTCCGTTTACATCGGTTTATGGGCTTTTAAGTCCAGCTCACTTGACATAGACCAGCCTAATTGAGATTAAGGCTTCTTCCAATTTTGGTCTCAACATATTTTTCCTTATTATGTCCATATTTGTTTTTTCACATAATCACTCAAATATCTTTTTTTTTTCTTAAATATTTTGGACAAATTGAACATTGCATAGAGAAACACATTACATAACTAACTATCCACATATCATGATATACAAAGAAGTTGTATATTATGAGTCTATGAAAAAAACTCCAAATCTGATTTAATTTTTTTTTTTTTTGATCAATCACTTAAACACCCTGACAATATTATCAATGATTGCAAATAATTAGCACATGAATCCTTAAGCTCATGTTAGTGAAGCATCACCTCAAACAGATTTTTCATGATGAGAGCAAACATTCCTTTCTGATCACGCTGATTATTTAGCGATTTAATCAAACGTATCGTTGTTATATCGCTTTAATTCAAAATTTTAAAATTACAACCTATCTCAGTTGATTTTGTTTAATATTTTTCTTAAAGAAGATAAGGAGGGTTATCTTCTGTTTCTTCATTTGTTTAATATTTGAAAACATCGAATTAAAGGTTTCGATGAGTTGTCGTGACTCATCAGCCGGCCCTCAGCAACAACTTCAAAATGTAAAATATCATTTCGTCAACATGTAAATATATATAGAGATATAAATTATTACATTTTTATACAACCGATACTATGGTTCAAAATTTTGATTTTCTTCTTTTGCTAAAGTTTTGTTTCTTTGTCTTTTTGAATCAGCTTTTTGTTGTATATTTTAAGATTTGTTTCCTTTTTGTGAGAAGAAAAAGTAAAGCGTGCAAAAATAAAATAGAATAAATAGTGTCTTCTCTCTCTTGTCAAAGACGAAATTAGAGCTACTCAGACTTCTAATTTGCTATTTACATTCTCCAGAAAAAACGTTACTTTTTGTTTCTCTGTTCCGTAATAACGAGGAAGAATCTAGAGACAGAGGAAGCTGATTTTAAGAGTTTTGGATTTGGTCGAAGATGCAAATTTTCAGTAGCTGTTGTGGAAAAGGATTTGATGGGTATGTATGGGTTTATCTTGATTCATTGACTCAGAATATGATTGTTAATCTCCTTCTTTCGTTTATGGATTTGTTTGATTTTCCTCTTTGTTGGGTTACTGCGAAAACGTGTTATTTTTTAAATCTGTTATAGTGTTCTTCCTGATTTAGGATTTAAGAATTCTATATCATCAATTCTTCATGCCTTTCCTCTACTCTAATCCTTTTTTTTTTATAAAAAGTAAAGTTTGTTCCTTTGTTGCTGGAAGTTTGAAAATAATCTGTTTTTGTATATCACCTGATTGATACTTGAAAGTTTATTTTATCACCACTAGTTTTAGGAGATGATTGTAACAACTGTTCTGCATTTCATAATTGCTGTATTACTACAAAACCGAGGTTATATAAGTTTGGTTTGATGTCACAATTACATTAGGAAAAAGAAAGTGAAGACAGAGCCATCTTGGAGGATATTTTCATTGAAGGAGCTTCATGCGGCCACTAACAGTTTCAACTACGACAACAAACTCGGTGAAGGTCGATTCGGGAGTGTGTATTGGGGTCAGCTATGGGATGGATCACAAGTAATTTCTCTCTTCCTCACTTATAAACTTGTTATGTAGGACTTGCTTCTTGTTCGGTTTCGTTCTCAAAAAATTCGTCTTCTCCTCAGATTGCAGTCAAGAGATTGAAAGCATGGAGTAACAGAGAAGAGATAGATTTTGCTGTGGAGGTCGAGGTTCTTGCTCGTATTCGTCACAAGAATCTGTTGAGTGTTCGTGGATACTGCGCAGAAGGACAGGAACGTCTTCTTGTATATGAGTACATGCCGAATCTGAGCTTGGTGTCACATCTTCATGGGCAACATTCATCTGAGTGCCTTCTTGATTGCACCAAGCGGATGAAGATTGCCATAAGCTCTGCTCAAGCCATTGCGTGAGTCTCGAAATCTAAAAAACCGTTCATGACAAGTTTACTTATGTCCGTAGTGTCTGTCTTCTGACGGTGTTTTGGTCCTTTTTGTTTAGCTACCTACACCATCATGCAACCCCACATATAGTCCATGGAGATGTGAGAGCTAGCAATGTGCTGCTAGATTCTGAACTCGAAGCTCGTGTCACCGATTTTGGATATGGTAAGCTGATGCCTGATGATGCAGAAGATGGAGCCGCCACGAAAGCAAAGAGCAGTAATGGGTATCTCTCACCGGAATGTGTTGCATCAGAAACGAGCGACGTGTACAGTTTCGGTATCCTTTTGCTGGTACTGGTTAGTGGCAAGAGACCAATGGAAAAGCTTAACGCAACAACAACGAGGGGTATAACCGAGTGGGTTTTACCACTTGTGCACGAGAGAAAGTATGGTGAGATCGTGGATCAGAGGCTGAGCGAGGAGAATGTGGAAGAGAAGCTGAAGAAACTAGTCTTGGTGGGGCTAATGTGTGCTCAGGCAGAGCCAGAGAAGAGACCAACGATGTCTGAAGTGGTGGAGTTGCTGATGATTGAATCAAAGGAGAAAATGTCTGAACTTGAAGCCAATCCTCTCTTCAAGAATCCACATAGCAGCGATGAAAACGATAGAGAGCAGCAGGTTGCAGAGGAAATCTCAGAAGAAAAGGATCATCATCAGCAACAACAAGAATAGGGATTTTTAGGCACAGAATTTTGTTCTGTCAGATTATTTATTTTTACCATTTTCTGTTCATAATTGCTAGTTTATTTTTTTAGAATCCATGGCATCACTGGATTCGAGGTATTTGCTTATTTTGTTTTGTGTGTGTTGTTCTTGGTTCGTAACATTGATTTGGTCTCTGAGATTGGAGTTTGTAAGGTGTGGGTATGGCAACATAAAGGCAAAAATTGTGATACTTTTTGGTTTTGTTGAAAAATTGAAACTTTTATTCTGGATTATACAGAAACTTCTACACTCTAAAACAATATATTTTTTCACAATTAGAATACACATTGTTTCTCAATCAGTTGTACTAGTTCTGATTCTTGGAAGAAGATGCTCGGATCAAAAGGATAACAGAGATTACAACAGGAGCGATAATAATGAAGAGGGCTTGAGTGAGATTAGGTGTTGTGATCTGTGGAAGCAAAACGCTTCCGTATTTGATTATAGCTGCTCCTGCTACAGAACCAACTCCGAGCTTCAACAGGTAAGTTAAGTCCTCCTGTATTTGTGTCAAAGCAACAGATCAAAAACAGGGCTGATTCTGTCTATTTGAATAATCTGAGCTCAAAAATCAAATAAAAACTCATGTCTTTTTCGATCAAATTCTAAACATACGGGGCTGTTTTATAATTTAGAATTCTTTGAGAGCCCTTACACAAAAAAAAACCTTTGCTTGTCTATACAGAACTGACCTGAATTCCTTGACCGTTATCGGATTGTTCCGACCGGTTATCGGAAGCTGTGACGTGAAATGACCATTTTGTCCTTGGATTGGTCGAGGGAGTTCGAAAACTGGTAACGAATTTCACGCTACTCATGGTCTTCTTCTTCGTTGGTTCCAAGCTCCGGTGAACAGAGCTCGAGCGAGAGAGCGTCGGAAATCCAACCGCCATAACGGAGACGAAGACAGAACCTGACATCTCTCTATCTCTTTTATCTCTCTAAACCTGCCGTATTTTCTGGTCAAAGCAGTCTTGCGAATGGCGTGAGCAGAGGATAAGAGAGAGAGACACGACAGTCCACCTAAAACGCATCGCACGTTATGCGTTGGTTCTTGAAACTTTAAAACGCGTCTAAATTACGTTTGCGTTCTTTCTAGGAACAAAAGTGTATTACAAAGATTTTATCTTTAAAAATGTATTACAAAGATGAATTCACAAGTTTTATTACAGTATGTATATAAGATAAAACCATTTATAACATACACAATTTCACGGAAAAAAAGTGATCAAAATCATTTCTCAAGGATCTTGCTTAGAACAGTTCTTGCTAGATCAACACTCCCTTCTTGGTCTTCTTCTTCTTCTGATCCCGCGGCTTCTCTGACGGATATTCCATGACCAGACAAAGAGCAACGAAGAACAGAGTTAATCTGCTTTCTCAACTTGGCATTGTCAATAAGAACCTCTGTTAGCATCTTGTTTACTACATCAGCGGTTCCAAAATGTTCTTCCGATGTTGTTGTCTTCCGCTTTTCCACTTCTTCTGAGAGAAGCTGCGTCTGTTTCACGCATACGAATTAAAATCCAGAAAGAATATATTATACCTTTTGTGTTTCAATATGCGCAAACTCAGCATCAAAGCGTAATGGGTAGAACCTACCTCAGCAATTAGAAGACCTATTCGATTATCAGATGTTGTCAGTAAATCGAAGGCTTCTGATGCAGATGATGAGTCCATTATTAATTTACTCTCCTCTTCTATGTGGAACTTGATATTGCACTCTTGAAGCCGGTTCTGTAGAATATCACACTCATGCATCAACTTCTTGTTTGCTGTCTTCGCAGTTTCTTCTCTATCCTTCTCCCGTTGAACAATCCTCTGAGTTGCATAAGATTAAAGAGTTAAAAAATACTGGATTTTCCATTATCTCGAAGAAGATTTTACAGTACTTGAATCACTCTCATGCAAAGAGCGTATTACCTCCATCTCCAGTTTTTCTTTCATCGTGCGGCTAAGCTCTTGCTTCAATTCTGATTGAGTGGTTCGGAGAGATTTGACCTCTTTGACGAGAACCTTCAGTTCTGCTTTCGATTTCACTTCTAGCTCTTCATGTTCTTTATGCAAGTTCTCAAACCTGTCTCTTAGATCATCGATCTGCTGCAGCAACGTTTGATTTTCCTGAACGAGTTCCTGATTTGTAGTCTCAATATCTTCTTTCTCGTCCTGTAAGCCAAATAATTGATAAACATCTATCGTTGAATGCAAATGAAATAATATGTGAAAGAAACTAAAGAGAAACACAGACCTTCATAGAGTTTAACAATGATTCCATGTCCATGCATTGCTTGCGAAGTTCCTCCATATCCCACTGAATTTGAGTAAATCTTTCCTTTTCCTTCAGAACTGTTTGCTCCATTCCTTGCTTGCAGCTCTCTCGTGTTGTTTCAAGTTCGACCTCTAAATCTTTTACCTACGAGACAATCCCAAAGCAACATTTTTATTCATTCACAGAGTAAGATGTCATGCATACAATACAATCAAGACACTGATCACTTCACTTGATTTAAAGCAGATTAAAACCTTAGAAATATAGAAGGAAAAAAACACAAGGAGATTATGTGATAGTTGTGCACACCTTTGTTGACAAAAATTGTCGAACAGCTAGCTCCTGATTTAGCCTTGAGATAAGATCTTCCGTGTCAGCTTTTGCTGTTTCCAGTCTCTGCTTTAACATATCAACAACCCTTTTTAGCTTATTTCTCTCCTCAGACTGAAACACAATAGCCACATCCTTCTCAGCCTCAGTATTTGCACCATGACTGTTTATATGAGCTTCATCATGAATGTCCATAGAGCCTTGGTTAGGTTCCCCACCAATTGACGCCTCAGAATCCCTCATATGAGTTATATCACTTTCAATGGTCTTTTTTGGAAACTTTCTATCAAGTCCATCCAATCTCTGAAATCCAATTCCACTAGAAACACCCTCTTCGGTTATGGTACCAGTCTCTGCAGAAGGACTCTTATCAAGAAGTCCATATTCAGTGATTAATTCATGCCAATCAGTCACATTATCTTCGGAAGTTGAATTCCTTGAGACAATATTTTTGAGTCTAGCTTCTTCATGTTTCGTTGTTGAGGTATCAGATGTCTCATCAGCAGAATCATTGACATGACCCATGGTAACTGATGAACTACCAGCAACATCAGAACTGGAGTTAGGTAGAAGTAACGGACTGTCTACAGAGTTATCTTCAGTTTCTTGATATTCATCATTGAAATCTGAAGAGAGAAAAGAATACGAAGCAAATTAGTACACTGGCACAATACATGAAAGGTTTTACATTGTTTTCACTAGCAAGAAGAAAAAAGAAGAGCACATACAAGACCTAACAGCAGCTTCTAGCTCAAGAAATGTTGCTATAAGAGCGCTTCTGGATATATCGATATCTGACAAAAGTCTATTCATCCAATCTTCCAGAGAGCACCTCCTCTGCAATAGACTAAACATTTTGAGAATATTTTTGCTGTCACTAATCTTAGAGTTGAGAGAGTCGACATCTACCTCTTCCAAAAGTGTCTGGTTTTTCACCCTCAGCCTATTCTTTGGAGGTGCCTGGGGTAACCTTTTCTTTACGAACTCTTTTTTAATCTGGAAAAACGGGATTTTAGTATGAAAACGTCATAACCCACTAATAACGACTGAATATCAAATTCAAGCAACTCAAAGTTATTTATAGAAGCGCTGTATGGTTTTCTACGCTTCCAAACAGAAACAAATGGGCAAGCCACAGAACTAAGGAAAAGGGTATTGAGGAAGGAAAAGTACTCACTGACGAATACAACTCCAAGAAATCATTGAATCTTCTAAGTATCAGCCTAGCAGAGGTGATTCCCTCCGGAGACTGTATTGCCACTTGCACTCTATAAAACTGACAACGACGAAAGTAAAAGGATAAGAAAAATAAAAACTTTGGATAATGATACATCAGGTGCAAATTAATACATAAGAAATCTTGCAAAATCAGCAGAGAAAATTATGTGATTCTAACAATACGTTCCTAGCTCATACAGACCAGTTTCGTGCAAAAGAAACAGCTATGAGTAAAGGTAATACACACCACGGCAGGATCTGAAGCACTTGATTTGGGAAGGTCAACCCAAGAAGGGACAGTGACACAGTAACTCCAACCAGTTCGAGGGTCATGTGGCCAAACAGTGCTCCGTCCTTCCTACAGTCAGGAACAAATATCCAAAAAAATGTTTTCATTTTCAATAAGGGAAGCTCAAATCTTAGAATGTCTGCTAATTTAGAGTTAAACCAAGTCTGCTCTTTTCTACATATAATCGTTCTACACCTTCTCGTAATTGCAAAATTAACAAAGGGTAACAAAACCTTATGTCATTAACATATTCAACAGAACATGGAAAATGCTTATTCAACGTCCTGCAGATGTTCGATGTTCAAAGGCACGAATGTGAAGGCCAAATCACTTGATGTGAATGAAAAACGAAAACTTTCTTTTAAGGGAAGAGTCCATCATCCCAAAGGACCTTAGCTAATGCAATGAATTCAAAATGTGGCAAAAAGAAAAAAAAAAGGTAGAGAAGAACAATACATACCCATTGACGAGGAGGAGCACTCCAATCCATCCCCAGAGGTAACGGAGACTTCCCATCGTGGCGATGCTCCGGAGATTCCCTCCGATCCGTATCCGCTTCTCCGCCATAAGCTCCGTCGCGACTGAAGCTGATAGCGCGGCGATAATCGTCGTCCTCCCCGTGAAAGAGAGGGCCAGGCGAGAGAAACCGGTGAGATAACGAGTCGTCAAAGCGGCCGGAGACGTTGTAGTTAAAATCGAGAATAGAGAGATCGTGCGCGTAGAGATTCATCACTCTACTACTACTCCTCTCTTGTTGATTCCTCTTCTCTCCAGATTGTTGTCATAAGTCCCATTTCGTGCTTCTTCCACTTCTTCTGCACCCACCGAGTCAAAATGCTGCGTGTGGTTTCTTCAGTTTTAGTTGGGTTATATAGTTTTAATTTACCAATTGTACAAACAAAGTCGCTCTAGCCGAGTGGTTTATCTGGTGGTTGGACAATAGTGTTTAGGCACCTGAGTTCGACTCACCAGTAAGCAGAGCTGTGAAGATAAAAAAACTAAAGTGCCGGCTTAGTCCGACACGTCGTCCCGATTACCCGTGACGATAACAAGTGCCGTCCGAGCTCTAACCTTTTTTTTTCTCTAATAAGATACCTAATTACAGTATACACTTTTGCTTCTGCTTGATGCTATATTTTTATTTTATTTTTTGGGAAAATGCTTCTGCGAAATTCAGTAATCCCTAAATCATCGGACTTTAAGTTACTGTTCATCTCAACGATCGCAGAGTCTATATCCAATGATTACACTCACTTCATCTCCATCCTTGGAGCCTGCAAAACAACGGAGCAGTTCAAGCAACTACATTCCCAGAGCATTACGGCAGGTCTAGAACCAAACCCAGCAATCCAAAAGAAACTCCTAGTGTTCTGGTGCAGTCGTTTAGGTGGTCACATGGGTTATGCCTGTAAGCTGTTTGTGAAAATGCCTGAACCAGATGTGGTTGTGTGGAACAATATGATCAGGGGTTGGTCAAGAGTGGGTTGTGACAGGGAAGGAGTTGGATTGTATTTGAACATGTTGAAGGAAGGTGTGAACCCTGACAGCCACACGTTTCCTTTCTTGCTCAACGGTCTTGATCGGGATGTAGCTTTGGCTTGTGGTAAGAACCTGCACTGCCATGTTGAGAAATTCGGATTAGGTTCTTCTAACCTTTATGTGCAGAATGCTCTTGTTCAAATGTACTCTTTATGTGGACTAATGGATATGGCTCGTGGGGTTTTCGACAGGAGATGCAAAGAGGATGTTTTTTCATGGAACTTGATGATCTCTGGGTATAATAGGGTGAAACGGTATGAAGAAAGCATCGAACTTTTCGTCGAGATGGAGAGACACTTGGTTTTTCCAACTTCTGTTACCTTACTTCTTGTTCTCTCTGCTTGTGCTAAGGTAAGGGATAAAGATCTCTGCAGAAGGGTTCATGGGTATGTTAGTGAGTTAACGAAGGAACCAAGTTTGAAGTTGGAGAATGCTCTGGTCAATGCATATGCTGCGTGTGGCGAAATGGATATAGCTGTACGAATATTCAAGAGTATGAAGACTAAGGATGTGATTTCTTGGACATGTATTGTGAAAGGGTTTGTCGAGACAGGGAAACTAGATTTGGCAAGGACATACTTTGATCAGATGCCAGTTAGAGATAGAATTTCCTGGACTATTATGATCGATGGTTACCTACGAGCTGATTGCTTTAGTGAATCTCTGGACATGTTCCGTGAGATGCAAAATGCAGGCATGATACCCGATGAATTCACCATGGTTAGTGTTCTCACAGCTTGTGCTCATCTGGGTGCGTTGGAGATAGGCGAATGGGTTAAGACATACATAGACAAAAATAAGATCAAGAACGATGTTGTTGTAGGGAATGCTTTGATCGATATGTATTTCAAATGTGGGTGTTCCGAAAAAGCACAGAAGGTTTTCCATGAAATGTGTCAGAAAGACAAATTCACGTGGACGGCCATGGTTGTGGGTCTTGCCAACAATGGACAAGGTCAAGATGCCATTAACGTCTTCTCTCAAATGCAAGACATGTCGATCCAACCAGATGAGATTACTTACCTTGGTCTCCTCTCTGCTTGTAACCATAGTGGTATGGTAGACCAAGCAAGGAAAATTTTCTCCAAGATGAGAAGCGACCATAGAATTGAGCCGAGTTTAGCACATTATGGATGTATGGTTGACTTGCTTGGTCGAGCTGGGATGGTCAAGGAAGCTTATGAGATGATAAGGAATATGCCAATGAATCCAAACTCGATTGTGTGGGGAGCTTTACTTGGTGCTTGTAGACTTTGCAATGATGAAGCAATGGCTGAAGTGGCAGCTAAAGAAATTCTTGAGTTGGAACCTGATAATGGGGCTGTTTATGCTTTGTTATGCAATATATATGCAGCTTGCAAAAGATGGGAGGATTTGCGGGAATTGAGAAGAAAGATGATGGATGTTGCAACCAAGAAGACACCAGGCTGTAGTTTAATTGAGGTAAATGGTGTTGCTCACGAATTTGTTACTGGAGACAAGTCACACCTTCAATCTGATGAGATTTACATGAAACTAGAAGAATTAGCACAAGAGTCGACATTTGCAGGATACTTGCCTTATACTTCCGAATTGTTGTTCGAGGCTGGGTAAGATCATTTTCACAGAGAATTTAGCTATGAGTTTTTGAGTTTATTGCTTCGGAAGATGTAAATAGATCCATAGATTTGTCACTGTCAAGTTGCTACTAATGCTGTGGATAATATACATCATGGTTCAGTTTTTCTTTCTCTTATTACCGCTAAAAGATAGCAACGAGAATCAAATTCTAAAATACTAGTTTATAGCTAAATCATTTTAATTCTGCATCTAGTACTGAAGCTTGAAGCATCAGATTCCCTGGATCTAACTATGATATCAAAGTCAAACTCATTGGCGAATCAGAATCTTAACTAGTAAAGATTTACTAAACTATTTGCCACTCTCACTCTGCCCCATACAATTATCAACAATTTGCCTGACAATTACCAATTCAGCGAACAATTAATGCCTTCACGTGTAACAAAAGTCGCCAAGTAAAAAATGAGTAACACTTTATATTGCAATAACCCCAAAGAATAGCATGGAATTTGATAAGAATTGGGAGGGATTTGTTTATCCTGAATCACGAACTTACAAAACTAAAGCAAAAGAAACGAGGGAAGTACACACTTACGGTCTCATGCATTTGACTAGAACGTCAACAAATCTCTTGTACATGTGCTGCTTCATATACATCTTCTCAACCTTTTCACGTCCTTGGATACCTAGTTGTAGCCTTGTAGATGGGTTTCTAAGAAGAAACAAGAGATTCTGAGCTAAAACTTTGTTACCTGGCCCCCCCACAGGGTGGAGTAGCCCTGTAACATTGTGTTCCACTATCTCTTTTGTTCCTCCTGCGTCTGTTCCTAGCACCTGGTCCCATGGGAAATAAAAAATCGATTAGGATGATGAGAACAATTCATTTTCGTCTCTCCAGAATAAGAAAACACGTATTGTATCTATCGGTTTGTTTCTCACCGGAAGACCATAAGCCATTGCTTCGATAGTCACTCTCCCGAATGTTTCACCAACTCCCTGTTTCACAAATTAAAAAGGGGGTAAACGGAAGTTTAAGATTACTTCAAATATCAGTTGATATTGTCTGTTTTGAGTGAAGCCATAGAAGGATGGAAAATGAGAAAGATTACCTGGGAGTTTGTTACGTAGACATCTGCTGCAGAGTATAATGAGGCAACACGAGTGGTCGCTAGAGTCCACAGAACCGAGTTCGATAAGTTTCCATTGTTTGACAAGAAGCTCAACATTTCCTTAACGTATGCAACTTTGTTGCTCTTGGACCCAACTGATCCAAGAAGAAGTTTAAGGTCTTGTTTCTGTGTTACGTTGCCAGAGGATAACAGCTTTCTTTTACCGGTGGCAGAGAGAACAGACGGATTGTCAAGAGCAGGAGAAGCGATTTTCATCTTCCGTGGTGTACCTCTTAAATGATGTCTAACAGAAAGACTCATCTTTTGTTTCCTGATGCCATTGAGGTTCTTGATTTTGGACTGACTACTTTTAGCTACTTTTTCTTGCTCTTGTTCTCTAACCAGTGCCAAGGCGGTAGACTCAAGGAGGAGAAGTTGTCCCTTTCCCGGATTTATGCTGCTAAGAGACATCACAAGCATATCTTTATCTGTCAAACCAAACTCCGCTCTAACTGATTCACGTAGCTTTTGTCTCTTCTCCTTCATCATCTCCTTGGTCAGTGTTGGAGTATTTAGCGAAGAGGAAACCCCAGCAACAAAAGCCAACTCATCATTAACAGACAACGGAACAATAACCGGCTGGGACCTAAGCTTTATTTGCTCCTCTTCACACCATGTTAACCACTGTTTGCTCTGTACTTCAGATAAAAATATCAGCAGTTTCACTCGATTAAGCACAGGTTTCGCTCGATCAAAATACTCTCGCCGGTTCTCCATCACCCACCAAGCGATTTGACTTCCACCAGCTGGAAAGTGATCCATGTATTGATCTGGAAGAAAAGACAAGAGATAGAGATTGTAAAAAATAACATAGTGAGTCTCCGATCTTGTGGCAGAAAAGGAATACTGTAACATTTGCTTTTAACAATTGTTTCGATGAACAACAGCTATATATATAAGATTCACACTATTAGAAAACAATCTAAAATGAGAATGCTCCTACATGAAAACTTATAATTATAAGATGCATCTTCCAGTAATATAGTTTAGGAATGCATGCATTATAAAACACCTTACTAAACACGAACGTCAATACATGATCAGGCAAACAACAATGTCAAAGAGTCAACAGACTTATTTTTCTTTATCATAAACTCAAGTTTCAAAATCATCTTTGGAGCCTTACCTATCCAAGAAGCACAAACTGCTGATCCTGCAATGACAAGGTCTGCTTTCATGGCAGTTTTGAAGCTGAGTTCTCCTTTGTCTTCAACCACTTTGATCCTTCTCCTAGTGAGCTCTTGCAGCAATCCACCCCTTCTGCTAAGAACCACTGCATATACTGTTGCACCGCAGCTCAAAAGCTCAGAAGCCAGCTCCATCATCGAAATTGGAGCACCGGTCATTGATAGTTCATGGAAAAGCAGGACGAATCTCCTTGACCAAACAAGGCGTTTAAAGTCTGATTTCCTGTCACACGTCCCTGATCGCTTTTGCGGACTCCATTCAAGAATTCTATCCTCTAGTGATCCAAAAGGACCAAAAAGCTTACCGTAGGTAGCATTTGTCTTTGGAAGTTCTGGATCCTGCTCATCCAAGTCCTTAGCCTCCACCACATTTTTCACCTTCTGCATACTGCGAATCTTAGTACGTGAACCACGACCAGCTTTTCTGGTCCTCCTCTTGGAACTCAAGCTTCGTCGAGAAGTTCCATCCTCTTTCTTGGCCAGAGTTACATGCATCCTCTTATTTACACCTATATGGACTATATTGGTACTATCGACTACAGAATGAAAACTCTCATTAGCAACTGAATCCAGTCGTTTATTCTTCTCCACATGCAAAACATCTTCCCTCAGCTTGCCTCCAAAACGCAAGAACTCAACTTTGTTATCATCATCGTGCGCCCATCTGGACTGAACGTAAAATCCAAGATAGGTCCAAAGAGTGATCAAAAGTAGCCAATAAAGCAATCGGTTACTTCTGAACCACTGAACAGCTCCGCCACCACCTTTACCATCTCTGTGTGGAGTCCTGCCTGAATGCACTCTCCTAAATGTAGGTGAACCCCTTGGAGTAGACTTCCCTGAGAGTGAAGTCTTATAGCTACCTTGTCTAAGCGGTGATAGCCGAAGATCTTCCATAGTTTCTTGATTATAATAGCATCACCGATCCTACTCCCCACACTTTAACATTCTTTAGAAAAAATCCATTCAACTTCAGCCCATGAGTTCTCAGGACAAAGTGAAACTGAAACCAAGAATGAGAAATCAATCATCAGCGTGCAATGCATATCAAATAAGCGTGATTCAGCTAAATATAGGAACACTTGTGATCCAAGTTCATCAAGTATCTGTTTTCACACACGACTAAATCTGGAGAAACTCTACAAATATAAGGATCTCAAATTCCAATTGATATATAAAATCGGCTTTTCAATAAATTTTCCAAGGAGGCCAGAAACAAAATAGAATCTCAATGGACATCACATTCGTCGGTTTACCAAATAAATCCGCAAGAGAAATCAATTCCATTTTCAGGATCAAGATCTTAGCGAGTATCTTACTATTTCCGATAGGTCAAACACGCGTTTCCGAAGCTGAGTGAACCTCCGAGTTGGATCGTCGATGCTCCAATGCTGCAGCTGCTCTGAAGTACAGAAAGAAAGCAACGCAGCTAAATTGAGGAGAATTTTCAGAAATCTACGATCTAAAGAAACATAAAGTCAATGTTCGTCAACAAGGGTAGAAGAAATTCGTCGATGCTAAGAGCGGAGAAACAACACAAGCTTGCACAAGAAGCAGAGACGAAGACGAAGGAGAAAATGACAAAAATAAGAAGACATTACATTGCATTTAGTATTCTCCTGTGAATCTAAGCTTGAGCCATTCCAAGAGCTCAACAGAATCGCGGCGAGAGAGAGAGAGAGAGAGAGAAGGCTCGGAGACTCGGAGTTAACGGAGTCAGAGCTGCACAAGGGGAGAGCGGAGAGAGAGGTGGCAGCTTTTAATTTGTTCAATTCTTTTTTATTAATTGATTATTGTTGATTCTTAACTAATCGTTGTTAGATGGCGACAAATCACATAATTAATCGCTGCTTGCTTTTCCGAGAATGAAATGGGTCACACGTGCTAGCCACTCGTGTGTGCTACTCTGTATCGTTTATTTTATGTGAAGTTGAAAATATAAAATTACAACGTAAATTAACTGAGGGGAATCTATTAATAATAACAATCTAAATAGCATTTTAAAAGGTTATGTTTTTTCAAAATTATTGAGATTTAAGTCGATCAATACAACATAAGTTGACTATTATAAAATATGTGGATCAATCAAAAATAAATTAGTTATAATATAAGTCTATTCATTTAAAATAAGTTTATTGTTGCAAAATAAGTAGATTAATCTAAAATATAAGTCGACTATAATGAAATAAATTGATCAATACAAAATAAGTTGACCGTTGTAAAATAAGTCTAACTATTGTAAAATAAGTCGGCTAACACAAATATAAATTAACTATTATGAAATAAGTAAACTAATACTCCTTTCGTTCCTAATTCTAAGATGTTTTGAATTTTTATTTTGTTTCAAAAGATTGATTTTCTAAGTTTTTATGTACTCTTTTTCTATTTTACGAGAACAAAAAGTAAAAAATTTATTGGCAACAAAAAAAATATCACAACTAACATTTACTATTCTATTTAAGTACTATTAAACTAAAACAAAAAAATTTAGAAAAAGTAGTTAATAATTAATTTCTTAATTACTGTGAAAAACCCAAAAAATCTTAGAATTAGAAACAGAGAGAATATAAAATAAGTTAATTAATGCAAAACAAATCAGCTATTATAAAATAAGTCAACTAATTTAAAATAAATCGATTATTGTAAAATAACTCGACCAACCTAAGATAAATCGATTATTGTAAAATAATTTGACCAATCCAAAATAAATTGACCAAATCAACATATAAATCGACTATTGCAAAAAAAGTCGATCAATTTAAAATAAATCGATTATTATAAAATAAGTTAATAAATATAAAATATAAATTAACTGTTGTGAAATAAGCAGATCAATACAGAATAAATTGACTATTGTAAAATAAGTTGACTATTATAAAATAAGTCAATCAACACAAAATATAAATCAACTGTTGTGAAATAAATCGATCAATATAAAGTAAGTCGACATTGTAAAATAAATAAATTGATATAAAATAAATAAACTAATATAAAATAAGTACTAATATAAAATAAGTTGACCAATCCAAAATAAGTTGATTGTAATAAAATAAGTCGATTAATCTAAAATAAGTCCATGTTTATAAAATAAATTGAGCAATTTAAAATATAAATTGACAATTATAAAATAAATCGATCAATCCAAAATAAGTAAATTATTGTAAAATAACTCGATCAACCTAAAATATAAATCGTCTGTTATGAAATAAATCGATTAATCCGAAATAAGTCGAATATTGTAAAATAAGTCAGTCAACCCAAAATATAAATTTATTTTTGCAAAATAAATCGATAAAAAAGAATGTTATAAAATATAAGTCAATAATAATTAATAGAAATCAACATGATTAAAATTTTAACAGAAAACAATATAAGTTTATTAGAAAATAAACCCAAATAAATAAAATATACAAATAAAACAAATAAAACAAAATTAAGTCAACAAATCCATTAAAAGTATAAAAATTAGATTGAAAAAATATTTTTATTAAAAATGAGTTTAAGAAAATACCATTCTAGAAAAAGACAAAATCATATTAGAACATTTTCTCATTCGAATTATTTAAACTATAATCTTTTGAATCTATAATATAAAAGATGGACAACTCTCTCCAGTTGAGTGCCACATCAGCACATGAGAGAGTGACATCTGTCATTTTAATTTTTGTAATTAGTTTATTATTTTAATGCAATTAAAGTTAGACTAATTAATTATTTACTTTTTAATTGTGTGTTATTTAAATATCTTTGCTTTGGTTTTTATATGTTTGATAAATGTATATTTTAATTTATTGTTAATGTAATGAAAACCTCACAAAAATAATCAGAATAAAAATAAAATAAATTAAGATTTGCAGCATGATATGTGACCGAAAAAGTAGTATTAGAAATGTTTAATTAGTGTGCGCCAAGAACAAATACGACATGCTAAAAATAGTCGTTTCTACTTATATTGCGATATGGAGAGTTTCTCTAATTACTTTTTTGTTATATAGTACTTCTCTAAAATACATTATATCTATTTAATTCAACGCATAACATATTTCACATTTCATGATCAATAAACTATTTATTACATATATAGTCAATGTCTACATAATACGTACATACATATTGTATACGATAAAATAAATTTTAACTAAACTTTTTAATAAACTATATTATATAACAAAAATCCGTGTATTGCGCGGATACTCATCTAGTAATAGTAATTTTATACAGGAATCTGATTAAATTGGTGAACTGGCTAATTACGCCATATGAATGTGATTAAAATAATAATTTTTAGTTACAAGGAAAAAGGAATTGGCTAAAAATAAAAAGAATTACGATGTTGCCATTTCATAGGCTCATAGGATTATCAAATGAAAAAGAAAAGTTTTTATTAGAAAATGTTAATGTTCTCTTCTCTCCCCAGAAAATAAAAGACAAGAACCACAACTAATTTAAGATGTGCTTTAAACACAATCAAGAATCTCAATTAAGTGAACTAAGAAACTCAACCCAAATTTCTTGGTGCGCGAATTCCTCAGCAGCTTGCTCGTCCTTTTCCCTACGCACAGCCACAAGATCCTCCTCGTAAGCCTGAGAAGCATCCTTAAGAAGTCGTGCCAGATCGTCTCCATCTACTTAAACTTCAAAATTCAAATCAACATTCATTCATGTTCGCTGCTTCCAGTTTAACCATTGATCACAAAGATTCTGGTAAACAATTCGCTGAGATGCCTAAAGGGCATTCTTTCATGACAGTTTTGTATTTGGCTAGCAAGAGATGTAATCAATAGAAGCTGAGCTGAGTACCTCGTAACGTGTACCAAGGGTGCTATAATCTCATCGAAAACCAAATTGTTTACGAGTTCACGCTCTCTATGCTCTCTGATGTAGCGGATGCCTCGCTTGTAGTATAAGTAACAGGTGATGAAGATTAGCCAAGGACTGTGGCTACCTTTGACTCTTTGAGAACGCTTCTTTTGTATGCCTCTGAACAAGATTGGTCAGTATGATGTCGTGAGGTTAGAGGTCTCTCCGTCTCTGAGCTCTACCAAAAGCCATTATCAAAAGATGTAACCAAGTCAAGAAACTGAGATTGTAATTCAGATGTGAGAGACTTTCATTGTTTGATTATTTTCCAAGGAAAATTACAAACCTGGGATGTTTCACCGAGTATCTCCGCTATGTTAATAGAAGAAGCCGTGTCAAAACAGCCACACACAGTATCTGCAAGAAACACTAAAAAGGAGAAAACAATTTAAGAGCAGCTCTCTTACGAAGGTTCTTTTGTTAAAACATTCACAAGAATTGAGCTTCAAAGCTAATCTGCTGGCTTTTGAATACCTAGAGCTGTTCTCAAAAAAACTTTTTAAAGATTGAGAAATGACATAAACAGAAATGCGAAACGAAAAAAAAGAAAAAGAATTTCTTACAGTATTTTCCATCATACTTTGCACTTGTAGCTGCTTCACGTTACGATAGAAATGAACAAGAAGGCCAAAACCAAAATGCTACAATTACCCTCCTTGTTTCATAATGAATTAAGAAGGCTTTCACAGATTTCTTCATCATTCTTTATCTCTTCAAGGCCTCTTGCCGCGTCTGAAACGGGAAAAATAATTTCTTTTATGTAACATTTCGATTTACTTGTATATGATTTTAAATCATCTATGAACACTTCATCCACCAAGAATGGTTCTGGGTTATCAAAAACATAGAATAATGGGAGGAAAACACAAACTTGCATAAGAAGCAGAGGAAGGAGAAAGAGATTAATAACAAAAGGAAGACATTTACATTGCATATAGTATTCTCCTGTGAATTTAAGCTCGAGCCATTTTGAGTTAACGGAGTCAGAGGCTGCGCAAGGAGAGAGCAGTGAGCGGCGATGTGGCTGATTCTAATTTGTTCCAACATTTTACTTTATAATTTGATTTTTCCCAATTTGCGTTTGTTCTTAATTAATCAGCACGTGCGGACCCACTTTGCTGTGTGTGATGCATCCCTCCAGCGCCGTACACGTGTCCTTGATGATGATGCCCCATCGTCACAATCCCACCGTACATCCCTCCGCCCGCCGTCGTAGCTCCTCCTCCATTGTATCCTCCTCCTCCTCCTCCGCCACCGCCGGAGCTTCCACTACCTCCGCCGCCACCTTCCTTATCGCCCTGTCTCCCCGTGGTCGTCTTCTCCCCTTCCACCTCCCTGTACTTTTGCAGGTAGATCTTCAACGGCTCAACGTAATCCTCGAACCCTAGCGTCGTCATCGCCCAGAGAAGATCGTCGCCGTTGATTGTCTTCCTCTTCTCTCTCTGACACTTGTCGGAGGCCTCGCCGGTGATGAAACTTATGAATTCCGATACGCACTCCTGGACAGTCTCCTTCGCGTCCTTTGAGATTTTTGCGTTCGCCGGCAATGCTTTCTTCATGATCCGACTCACGTTTGCAATCGGGAGAAATCTATCCTGCTCACGCGTCGACGCGCTTCCCCCGTCCTTGTGTCCGCCTGAATCGTTGTCGGAATCCGCCATCTCAGATCAAGCTCAGGAGGAATCGGAAAACGGCGAACGGAGGTCGCGGCGAGAGAGAGAGAGAGAGAGAAAGAGAGGAGGAGAAAGAGGGAGTGTTTTGCGTCCGTTGGATCGAGAGGATAATAATCTCATCGTGATGACACGTGAGTAGTTATTGGTCGTTCGTTTGTCGATAAGATTATTTACACGTGGATTTGATCGTATCCGTTGGATAGAAAGAGAGACTTGAGATCTTGGCGGTGCGGAGTCCACCACGTAGTAGAATATGGTTGAAAATACAAAGTGGAGAATCTTTACCTTATCTCCAATCTCCATAATTTTTGGTGCGTTGCATTGCAGAACGAGTGAGTGGCTTTTGATTATTAGTAGGTTGTTATCTGTTAATCGTACTTACGTAGCTAATTACGCTGTATATGAATGACAAGAATAAAAAAGAATTGAGATATTATCTATTTGTATAGCATAAGCCATTAGAATGAAAAGAAAAAAAAAAGTTTTATTAGAGGACTAAAAGACATTATCTGTTGTTCTCAAATCTCTCACACACTCAAATCTTTTCTCTCTCAAAGTATTCAACCTCTCTCTCCTGATATAACCAACAAACAAAGTCTCAAACAAAAGAACACCAGAAAGTAGAAGACAAGAACAACAACTAACTGAAAATGTGCTTTAAGCACAATCAAGAATCTCATTAGTTCAATTAAGTGAACTAAGAAACTCAACCCAAATATGTTCTGCTCTCTTAGTCGTCTCAAGCGCGAATTCCTCAGCGGCTTGCTCGTCCTTGGCCTTACGCACAGCCACATGATACTCTTCATAAGCCTGAGAAGCCTCCTTAAGAAGTCGTGCAAGATTCGTTTCCGTTGACTTAAACTTTAGGTCAATATTCGCTTTCTCTGCTTCAAGCTTAACCAACAGTTTCTTGATGGCAAAGATTTTGATAGTCAACGCGTCTCCTCCTTGAGCAAGAGTCTTCGCGAATGAGAACTCAGCGTCCACGGCTCTCTGCTTCTCCATTGCAGTTTCTTTTAGTAGTTTGGCTCGGGTTTGAGCAATGTGGACTCTCTGAGAAGCCTCGAGTCCTTCTTTAATGACGGTTTTGTATTTGGCTAGCAAAGATATGTAACCAATAGAAGCTGAGCTGAGTACCTCGTAACGCGTACCGGCTTCAATAATCTCGTCGAAATTCGGATGGTTTACTAGGTCACGTGCGCTTAGACCACGTAGCTTCTTTAGGGTTAGCTTTAAGCCCTCTATGGTCTCTGATGTGGCGGATGATTCGCTTGTGGTGGAAGTAACTGATGATGAGCCAAGGACTGTGCCTACCTTTGAGGAAGTTTCTTTTCTATGGGTATCAAAAAGATTGGTGAGTGATGTGGTGAGTGTAGAGGTCCCTGAGCCCTACCAAAGCCAAAACCAAAAGATGTAACAAAGTCAAGAAACTGATTCAGATGTGAGAGTCTTTTCATTGTTTTCTTGAATAAAAAATCAAGATAACAAACCTGGTATTGGGATTCTTCAGCGAGTATCTCTGCTATGTTGATCGAAGAACCAATGTCTGCCTTAAGACCATCTTTGTCTTTGTTAAAACAGCCACATACACCATCTGCAAGAAAACACAAACAGAGAGAAGACAATTAAGAGTAGCTCTCTTGTGAGTTTCTTTGGTTTAAAACATTCACAAGTAATGAGCTCAGAAGCTAACCTGCAGGCTTTAGAAGACTGTCTAAACCAGCTGTGAAAGAAACAACATACAAACATTGAGATATGGTTTCCTTTTAGAAAAATATGGTTGAGAGAATCTGAGGATTCATTACCATTGTATCCGCCATAAGTTTTCTGCACTGTACTTATGGTTGGTGAAATATTTGCATCTGCTGTGACAGACAACACATAGGAGAGCTGTCTCAGATAAAAATCTAAATATAGAAAGAAACATGACATAAACACAGAGAAAGATGAAAATATAGTTTCTTACAGTCTTTTCCATTAGCCTTTGCACTTGCAGCTTCTGCAAGTTAGAAATGAACAAGATGACAAAACCAAACTGTCAGATTATATACAGTCCTATCCTCATTATTCATTATGAATTCTTGCGTTTGATTCTCGAGGTTACCTTCATATTCGCGTTCGAATGCTTCCAAGAAACTGTTTCTCTTGTTTTCAGCTGTTAACAGAAAAACAAGACAAGAAAATTTTTTTTTTTCTTTCTCAGAAGGGTTTGATAGGAACAAAGGTATCATCAGATTAGTTACCTTGTTCTTCATAATTCTTTATCTCTAAAAGGCCTTTTGTAGCAGCTGAAATATATGAAATAGGAGAAAGAATACATAAGAAACTCTTCCTATAACGTTTTAATTTGGATTTATCTAATTAATAACAAGACTTATTGCACCAAGAACGGTTCAAGCTTTCTTCAAACTTAGAGAAAGGAATATGTTTGAAGTACCTTCAAACTCGCGTTCAATAGCATCAAGCATACTTTTTCTCCTTGCATCTGTAACAAATCATGGAAATAAATCTGATTCAGGATACGTTAAGTCATTAAGAACATAAAAAATGGTATAAGGGGAAGGATTTTTACCGTGTTCGTCATCATCCTTGCCTTCAGTTGAATCACTAGCCTTTAGCTCTTCAAGACCTTTTGTAGCAGCTACAAGTAAGAACATAACTTATATATACTTGATATGTAATGTATATTATGTATTTACAGTCAACTAAGAAGTTCAAATTCTATATGGAAATAACCTTCAAACTCGCGTTCGATAGCTTCAAGCATGCTATTTCTCTTTGCAGCTGTAACAAAACATGGAACAAATCTGATTCAGAATACATTATAAACAAAAAATGGAACATAAAAAAAGAGGCAAAAGGAGAATAATTATATACCGTGTTCATCATCATCCTTGCCTTCGGTTGAATCACTAGCCTTTAGCTCTTCAAGGCCTTTTGTAGCAGCTGAAAGTAAGAACATTAAACAGAACAAAACTTATACACTTGATATGATTTAATCTATTTACATTCAGCTAAGAAGTTCAATTTTATGTGGAAATAACCTTCAAACTCGCGTTCGATAGATTCAAGCATGCTGTTTCTCTTTGCAGCTGTAACAAAACATACAACCATTCTTCAGAATACTGTGGAAGATTCAAAGTGATTAGAGAAAACTAGAGAGGATAAGTTATTACTTTCTGCACTGTCATCTCCTTCAGTGAAACCTTCAAGCTTTAGTTGCTTAAGACTACTTGTAGCAGCTGCAAAGTAATTTTAATAAAACAGAGGAAATGGTTCAAGGTTTTGATTTCTTGGAACCATAGGAACTAATTTACAGAGATACTACTTTGTGGAAAGTACCTTCAAATTCACGTTCAATTTCATCCAACATACTTTGTCTCTTTGCAGCTAATAAAAAAGATGTAAAGACATGTATGAGAAATTGAGAATAACACTGCAAGTATGGTAAACATTCGAATGTCGAAGATTTTTCTTACAATCTTCTCCATCATTATTGTTCTCAGAGAGATCATCAAACTGTTTAACACTTCCGGAAACAGCTGCAAGAGAGGAAACAAACTCTTAGAACTTATTGAACCAAGAAGGAACGTTAAAGATTCTCTGTGCATATGATGAGTGCAATGTCGATTTTACCTTCAAACTCACGTTCGATTGCGTCTAGCATACTTTGTCTCCTGGAAGCTGTTAATAAGACACAACACATATCTATCTTAGAAAACTAAATGAGGGACAAAAGGTGTCAAATTACAGATAACCATTTTTTACCTTGTTCTTTGTCATCATGAGCTTCAACAGTGTGAGCATTAATCTTTAGCTGTTTAAGACCACTTGTAGCAGCTGCAAGTAGGAAAAAAGATGAAACAGAAATCTTGAATATAATAAGTCTCGCCACAAAGAATGTGAACCAATTAGTACAGACACTGAGTATGTCAAGATACCTTCAAACTCGCGTTCGATCTCATCCAGCATACTTTTCCTCTTTGCAGCTATAACAAGACAATGAGATCTATGAGTCTTGTAGTTGAGATTAAGGTATCATGAAAATGGTGGGAAATAAAATAGTTACATTGTGCTTCATCATCTGTGCTTGAGGTGGAATATCTTAATTCTTCAAGACCTTTTGTAGCTTCTGCAAACAGAGGAAAAAAAAAAACAGAGTCTAAGATGGTTTTGTAGAAGATACACAATCAAAGACAAGATATTGGTTATATGTTTTAAGTTACCTTCAAACTCTCTTTCTATCTCTTCCAACATCTTTTGTCTCCTTGCAGCTATGACAAACACACAAAATATGACTCAAGAATACTGTAAAATTAAGACAAGGCATCAAACAAAGTAAAAACGGGAGAGCTTCTTTTTACCGTGTTCTTCATCGTTGACTCCGGTTAAATCATCAGCCTTTAGTTGTTCAAGACCTTTTGTAGCAGCTTCAAGAAGGAAGACACAGTGTAATAAGTTAGTTAAAATGTTTCGGGTATCAAGAACTTAGTTAAACAGATATTGAGTATGTCAAGATACCTTCAAACTCTCGTTCAATCTCATCAAGCATGCTTTGTCTCTTTGCAGCTGTAAAAAAAGAAATAAAAAACAGAGAACTTGGAGTTAGAATATAGAAAATTGAAGAACCAAATGTGATTGCAACGGAGTACTAGAAGAAGAGTGTATTTTTTTACATTCTTCATCATCTTTTCCTTGGGTGGAATCATCAATCTTGAGTTGTTCAAATCCAGCTGCAGCAGCTGCAAGTAGTTATGAGATAATAAAAGAAGACAAGAACCAAATGTCAGTAAGAATCTATCAACAACAGTGGTTTCAAGAACTAATGTGAGTGAAGCTAAGACAGAAACATCAGAAAGTACCTTCAAACTCGCGTTCAATCTCTTCCAACATTTTCTGTCTCTGAGCAGCTGAAACAACAAAGACAACATAAGAGAAATCTCTTTGCAAAAAAAAAAGGATCAGATCAAAAGAGGATGGATGTTTGTTGTTTAACCTTGTTCTTCATCAGCCTTAGATTCATCAACCTTTTTGATATCATCATCAGATCCAGCCTTTTTAAGTTCATTGATATGTGCTGTAATCAAGAAATACAAGATTTTGATCCAAGCTTCTTCCAGAAACGTAATCAGGTATGAGACGTTTAAGAAAAAAAACAGATCAAAAACAGAGTCAACGTCTTGACATACCTTCGAACTCAAGTTCGATATGGTCCAACATACTGGAAGGTGTAGCGACTTCATCTGTAGCAGCTCCTAACTATAGATCCAAAGTAAATTAAGAGTACATTACTTTGCAGGAATCTAAATTCATAATTCGTAAACCAAAATCCAAATCCAAGCAAGCTAACTAATAAACAGTAATTGACCTGAGACGAGGTATCAGTAGAATCTTTAAGAGTTTCAACGGATTCTTCCGATAAAGACAGAGAAATAGTGTTGTTATCGGTCACTGTACTGTTTTTCTGACCACTGGTTTGGTTTTCACTCTGTCTTTTTCCAGCTGATTCCACACACAAAACAGAGATTAATTGTCTTGGTCCTACAAATTATATTGCAGAAATAGAAAAAGAAACAAGAGAGAGAGATAGATAGAGAAGTCTTACATTGATCTTCTCCTTCGCTGCCTTGTAGAGAGTTGACATTAGCTGCAACCAAAAATCATTGCCTTGTTATTGTGTTCATCTAAGATATATTAACTTCTTCAGACAATACATCTAAAAATTACCTTGATATTCCCTATCGATTAGATCTAAACTCAAACCAGAAGTTCCTTCATCCTAAAACCAAGAATCAAATGCGTTTGAAATCAGCTGATCATCACTAGTTTCGTTTATTGTAAAATTACATATCGTTAAAGAAAAGTGATTTTTTTTAGTTGTATTGCGTACCTGGCAAGAAACTTTATAAAAGCTTGAGAGAACAAGACACAGAGACAAACCCAGAGCTAAAAACTTCGTTCCCATGGCGGAGATTGTTTATCACAAAGATCAAAATACACTGTCTTGATGCTTTAGTAAACATATAGCATCACTTTAAACAAAACCCAAGTTAACAATTCAACGTGGCTTTTTTGTTTAATAATAGAAATTCACGTGGCTTTATTTTTTTATATATTTTCCATGTTCCTGCTATTACATTCAACGCTCTTTATTTTGTCTTAAGCAGTTTTTTGTGTGAAATGTTCATTAATTATGATTATCTGCTCTTTATCAATCCTTTAGCAACAAAATCCACTCTTTGCCAATCACAATTTCATCTTAGGCTACTAACTAATTTTTAATATCTTGATGATTTTTTTTTTTTTGGAAAAACAAGCTAAAAAGAAAATCAGTTTTTAAGAAAAAAAGGTAAAAGTTTAAATTTGAAATATAGATGATCCACTAATTAAAGCTATTAAAATAAATATTTCAATTTTAATCGGTTTAACTCACTAGAATATTATATAATGTTGTACACGTCTTATGAACTTCTTTGCTGATTTATTAAATCAATAATGCGATGCAGCGATGGTCATTACTACAACGAAATATCGTATCTTTTAGATAAGCACATATATTTTATATATACTATAATGTCTGTCGTCGATCAGTGCTTTTTATATTGCACACTCATTGGGGGAGAAATCTTTACAGGTATATGATAATATTAACGTGCAACATGAGAAAATTAAATAGATATACATGATCGTACATACGTGAGACAACAAATGTGTCGCCATCATCTCAATTATCGACTATTTTATAAATTTCTAAACGAGAGCATTTAATCAAAAATCAGCCTTTTTAGATCTCAAGACGTTGACTATAATTTCTATATAATTATGTTATTACGAAAGAAAAGTTCCAGATGTACAAAGAAGGATGAAAAATGATAAAGATAGCTTGCTGTGTAGATAAAAAATAGTAAAAAATTAGCTTTCAGTTCCTTTTTTTTTTTTTTATCATTTTAGTAACGACAATTTTTCCACGAAGAATAATAACTTAAATTTTATGAAACTGTAACCCAAAGAAATCATCATCAGCCGCCTTAAGTTCTCTCAACTCCATCGATAAAGGATATGGACTCGATCGCGTGGAAAATAAGTATATATCAATATCACAATGACGTGCATGTCTCTCTATAAAGTAAACATATTTGGTACAAACAGCTTGGCGATAGACCAGCAGATTAGAGAATCAAATAAGAGGAAACACATTACTTTCCCCGGAAAATACGCGACCGACTTCTCCCATGTTTCATCCATCTCTTTCATTTCGTTGCTCTACCATTTCTTCTGTTATTTTTGTTTTTATTTTCAACACTAATTTTCTAAAACGTGCTTACATACAGGTATAAAACAAACCTAATTTTTAACAGTACTAAATTTTGAATCATTTTTTTATAAATAAAAAGTCAACAATACACAGCCAAAATCTTATGCAATTTTATAATTAACGTGAAGCAACAAAGTACCATAATAAGATTACATGAAAGATACACAAAAATATAACATTACATGATAACACACAAAAAGTTTCAAAAAAAAATTCTGCGGGTAACGGATACTCACACAGTATCCCCTATATATTAAAAGAGAAGCATTTTTACAGAATAACCTTAATTTTGTAAAATATTACAGTGGTGCCATTTTGCTGATGTGTCATCACCAGATTCATTTTAAGCAAAGTTATAAAAATAGACTTATGTTACTATATTAATTACATGTTAAGCCACTCACATTAATTTGGTTATACATTAATTTATATCAATTGTATTGATGATGATTCATCAAGATATTTTCTTTTCTATTTCTTACCAAAAATATATCATATTAATTATTTCTTTAACTACTATATTTTATCTTTTATTTTTGTAGAAAAAATAAATCATCACATCATTCATATAGTAAAAATATATATTGTGTTATAATTCGAATTTCATAAAAACATATAAATTACTCAAATGATTAATAAATAAAAGTATGTTTTGAAAGACTAAAATTGAAAATAAAGATGTGTAGATAGATGATTCATAAATCAATATAAAAATACATAAATGAAAAAAAAACAGGAAGCTTAATTTAATAGATATTATAATTATAATTATTTTTGGTTTCATATGGTTTTGGAACCATATAAATGAACCAAATAATATAAATATGTAAACTTTATAATAAGTACAAAATATTAATAAAAAGTTGAACTATAAAAAATAGTTGAATATGTTAATAGAATATAATATTATAAATATTTTATTTGATTAAAAATTTAAATATCATAAATTTTTAGTTTATACAACAAAATAACTTGGTAAAAAATTAAAATATTTTTGTAAGGATATTATATAATAAATTTATTAAAATTTTTTGATATTAAAAATATTTTTATTGAATCAAAAAGTTAAGAATGTAGAAATATTGACTAAGTTATATACAATTTTAGATAATTTATTAAAAATAAAAAAATATAATCTATTTTTATATAATCCTTATGTATATTTAGTATTTAAAATAAATTTCACAATAATTATTTTTTCTTAAAAGTTAATATTTTTATGAGTATAGTTTTTGTGGATTAATCTAAATATACATTCACATTCGTATAAGAAATATTAAAATCAATTATAAAATCTTATAATCAAATTTTATTTTTACAATTTTAATACTCTCTATTTCAAAATATAAGTTGTTTTGCATCATAGCACAATGATTAAAAAGCAAATTTTCATTAAAAAAAATAATCATTTAGTATATAAATTAAGTATAATTCAACTAATTATAATAAACTGAAAAATATAATCGGTCACATAGTATTCATAGGAAGTAATAAAAAGAATAAAAACAACTATATTGTGAAACAAAACAAAACCTTAAAAAAAATTAATATTATGAAAAAAAAATTATTTTTACAATTTTAATACTCTCTGTTTCCAAATATAAGTTGTTTTGCATCAAAACACAAAGATTAAAAAGCAATTTTTCTCTTAAAAAATTAATCATTTAGTATATAAATTAAATATAATTTAACTAATTATGAAAAACTGAAAAATATAATCGATCACATAGTATTCATAGGAAGTAGTAAAAAAAAAATGAAAACAACTATATTGTGAAACAAAACAAAACCTTAAAAAAAACTAATATTATGAAAAAGAGAAAGTAGTAAATTTTTATTATTATCATCATAACGCATTAGATACTTAATAATTTAATCAAAATATACTCTTTTTATTTTTTGAATTTTAAGATCATGTTATTAATCATGGGTTATAAAAATATAAAGAGTGACTTCGTATTTCTATCCAGATTGCACATATATATTTAATTTTTAAACTAATTTACATTAGAATTAAATTATCCTATATTTCATAAAATGAACAAAAAAATATTTTGTCAATATTACAGGCTACAGCATACTGTTATAAACAACTTATATAAAATTAATTGTATTTTGTTATATGATTTTAAAATTATACTATATTAAATAAATAATTATTATTTCACTGTGCACATGGTGCAGGTTATTACCTATTTATATAGGAAAAGAGAAGATTGACAAGTCGCTCACAGTGAAAAAGGTTCGTCCATGAAGAAAACGAGTGTGTGTGTGTGATTAAAAGATAAGAAAAGAAGAGTGTTGTTCTCTCTAGAGAGAGCTGAGAAACTGAACCCAAACGATCTCTGCCTTCTCGATGGCTTCACGTGAGAATACTTCAGCTGCTTGCTCCTCCTTCCACTTACGCACAGCCACATGATACTCCTCGTAGGCCTGAGACGCCTCCTCTAGAACGTGTGAGAGATTCCCAACGATCTTCTGGAAATCCATATCAACCTCTTTCTTCTCGGCCTCAAGTTTCAACACCAGCTTCTTGATAGCAAATATCTTGACGTACAAGGCGTCTCCTCTCTGTGCCAAAGACTTGACCAACGCAAACTCAGCGTCCACATTTTTCTGCTTCTCCATGGCCATGTCTTTGAGCAACCTTGCACGCTGCTGCGCAAGTTGGACTCGCTGAGAGGCCTTGACTCCCTCCTTTATCATACTTCTAGCACTTTATCACATAATCACACCTTTGCGCCTCTAAATTGGCCTTTCCTCAAATCACTATAAGTGCTAGAAGATTGTTGACCACTTCTCGTTGATGAAGCTGAAAGGAAAAAAAAAATTAATGTATAAGCTGTGCCAAGGCATTTATAAACAAAATAAACTGCTGACATATAAACATGTATACAAGTATATACTCCTTCTGTTTCAAAATAAGTGTCATTTTGACACTTTTCACATAAATTAAAAAAA